ACAGTCAAAATTGTAAGATTTGTTCAAGCTGATTGGTAGGTACAGGGTTATTTGTCATATCACTTTCCATATTTTTCTGTATGCCTGAAATAAAAAAAAAATTAAAGGAATGCTTACACTTTGGTGGTAGCTGACATCAGCACATTGCCAGTAATTAAACATGATCATGTTAGTAGAGCTGAGCTGCTAGAACTGAATTCCTAATTCCCACCATCCTTTTCATTTCACCCCTGAGAACATAAAGCAGAACTGAAACCACAGCACTAGTCACTATGGCAGCTCGTCTTTAAACTTTTACACTTTTTTTTCCTCCTTAATCAGTCTCTTCCCCAAAACATGTTTCCTCTAAAAATGTGTACAGCCATGATGTTAAGGTTCAATAGCTCTCTACCGAAAGAGTTAAAAATGCAATTGCATATTGTGAGGAACACTAAGCAAAGCTTACCACACCAACTAAAAAACAAAAGGAAGGATACTACTGGATTTGCCTCACCAAGCAGGGCAATTCGAGAGGCTCATCTGAATGCTAAATTGCTGAAAAGGAAAAACCCTGACACCTAGTGCCCATCTGAAAAAACGAAACCTGGAGCCACCACAGTTCTTAAGTCTGGTCATTCGTGTAGAGGTAGCATGAAATTGCATTCAATTTGGAATCTACTTTTCTCTCGGAAAAATTTTAAGGAAAAAAAATTTTCCTACAAGAGTTTCAGTCTCTGATTACCAGTGTTTTTTTTTTTTTGGTACACATTCTGTACCTAATTATTATAACTGCTTCTAAACACAGCTCCTTCTCATCTGTTTTCGTTGTAACAGAAGTGATGAGGGAATGGATGGGTTTATATTGTTAAAAATCCATGTTCATAAAGTTAGGGAAAACAGGGTCCTAATTTCCACCCACCCTTAAGTTACTATAATAGTTGTCTCTCTATCATATCTTTCATCATTGCCCAATTTAGAGATTCCTGATCTAGTTTACAAAGTTGATACGAGGAAATATAATAGAAGAACTCTAACAACTTGTTTCAGAACAAATAAGAACACGGTCCCACGAAGGCCAGCGTTTTCTTTGTCCTACCAGGCAAAGTTAAGTTGTTCTCTGTCAAGTCTGCTACAGCTCTTGGCCTGATCTTAGTCTGAGCCTTTTAATAATGAGATTTAGTGTGAAAAGCAGCTGCACTGGATTGTGAACTGTTACTCAAAATGTTCCCACCTACAATTACAGCTTCCACCAAATGATCAAAACAGGTTAGCAAACTGGCAGGAAAATGAAAACAATTCCTCCAAAATACAGAAGTAGTAAAGCAGAACTGTTGGTTAGCTATATTTCTTCTGTATCCAGCCTCAAGAGCCCACATTCATCTAGCTATGTATTTACATGTTGTGCCCATCACTGTAGCATCATGGCAGTTAGAAATGAAATTTAGTCTATGTTGCAATCACATTTTCCTCAATTTTCACCGTTACTTGAAACTATTTAAAAAAAAAAAAAAAATCCCGGACAACTCATTTTTGGAGCTATTTGCAAGTGACATAGTTAACAGATTTGCTCTACTTCTTTTTTAATTCCTACTCTAAATTCATACTAAATGCAATGCCATTCAAATCTAACAATGAGAAAAATGTTTCTCCTATGCCTTTCAGCATGCATTAGGTGGCATTCCTTCAGTTACACCTTCCTTTACTTGGAAGGGACAAGGAGGAAAATAGAAAGGAGAAAGTACCTAACACTGCATCAGAAAAGCTCTCTTTCTCCTGCCTCTAACACAGGCACAAATGTTCAAAATGCAGGTCACATCTCTGCTGAAACAGCCAATATTCTTCCTCAAATGGCAAACAAGTTACCTAAAACTAAATGGAACTGAATTGTTCCAAGTCCTGGTCCCATCACCATTTTACCTATTTACTGTCCTGGAAAAAAAATAGGGAAGAAAGACTGGCCACCCATATAGCCAATGGTCTGATAAGTGCAGGTTTTCTGCCTTTGATAGTAGGGACAAGCATCTCAATTCATGGAAAAACTCTGCAGGAATCTACTGTTTTACCCTTATTCCTTATATTCATGTGCTAGCTTTTACACTCAGAAACTCCAGTCCTTCAAGGTAATGTAGTAGCACCCACAATGATGACCTGGTACAGCCATCACTTTTGGAGAATATCACATTGTGATGATTTAATGTTCACGCAGCATCAATGCATTTACATTGAGCCTGGGCTCTCAGAACATTAACAGGTCAATTTTTTATTCCTTTTTTTAATAAAACTATTTCTCAAGGCTCTGTTAGGATGCCCATTCTCTTTGGGATAGGAAAGATCTGCTCCAAATCTCATCAGCATGAGCTCTCTTCTTTTCCCTCACATTATTCTTGGGGTAATATGTAGAGTGCCAGGCTCATGACAAACTTGTCTCTTTGGCCAAAGAAAATTAAACTGCAGTAGCTGAAAGTCAGCTTGCCCTGATAAAACTGGGCTCAGCATGAAGAAATACATCCTACTGACACCTCGTCATCTCTTAGGCATTAGCTGTCCCTCAGAGTTCAGAATGCCGAAACTCCATCCTTAGATTGGTCAGTCTCTCAGTGGATGTGCTCCATGGTATGCTCAAGCTATTAGTAACAGAGTTCGATACTAATACGCAACCTCATTCCTATCATGCAGCATTCTATAATCTAGCTAAGGCCTTTGACTGACTTCACCAGCCTTCCTAGGCATCACTCACTAACTGTTCACAAAAGAATATCAGTCTCACTCCTCCCGAGCTCAAAGACTCAGAAACAGCAAGCTAACACTCAGCTTCAATCCTAGTCAATCATTTGAAGAAAAAGAATAAATAAAACAGGCAACTAAGGAGGAAAAAGTATAGAATAAGAAAAAAGTAAGAACTGACAAAAAGCAAAAAAAAGAAACCCTTTCCAAAGACAACAACAACAATTAGCTTTATCGGTTTCAAGTTTATTAAAACACTGGGCAAAGGAAAACGTGTGGTCCCGATCCTGATTTTACTCTTAATAGCTATAGTCCTATGCAACTGGTTAAGACATCTCTTTTCCACAAGGTTTGTTAGGTCTTAAAAGGGTTAAAAAAAAAAAAAAAAACCTTTAATTTTTTTATTCTTTGTTTTCCCTGTGTGTGTGTGTGTGTCTGTGTGTGCGTGTCTGTGTGTGTGATCGTGTGTGTGGTCTTTGGGTACAGAGTCCTGTATAATAAGACTATTTGTATTCATACTGGCAGAGTAAACACTACATGTTCATGCCCAGGCAGCTCTGTGCTTGTAATTTCAGCAAGAACAGAGCTCTGTCCCTCTGGGACTTCACTATTCCCCCAGTCTCCATTCGCTCAAACACAGCATGAGAGCAGAGAGAAAGCAGGAGAGAAAGATCATGGCAGGAGGTTTCACACAGCACTGCAGCTAGCTTTCATGTGGCCCAAAATCTAATTTTGTGTTTTAATTACATTAGTTAAAACATTTCTTTTCTCAGCCCCATGTTCACAGGGGTGCCTTCCATTCCTGAAGACTACACTATTTAATGAATCAGAATTTAAGTCTAGCACAAAGAAGCTTTTCTTTGTTGTTGAGGGGCTCACTAGGCAGATGCTACAGACAGTGGTACAAACCTCTGCTTCAACTTTGAGTGCTGGTGAGTATTAATTTACTCTCATCAAAATTCTATGCATTCTCCCTCCCTATCCCCTTGCTTCTGCTGTTTGTCAAGGTTTAGATTAGAAGAACTCCTACAAGTCTGATACTCTCCATTTGGTCTGATGCTTACATCCATCTTAATACCAAATCATTTACTCTTGGCATCTACTGGTGCACTTACTGAAACAGCCATATACCTTTTACATATAGTAAAATTTTTTGGAAAAAAGACACTGCATAAAATGGAAAAAATTCGGTATCATCTCCAAAGCTCTACCTAGTCTGTTTATGGTGAATACCCAGGTGAAGGTCACTCCTTCTAAGGAGTGAGATTTATCTACGGATTATATCTAAGGCTGAAATAAAAATACCTCTTTTTTCAGTTTTGTTACTGTTATCATTGTGTATTAGAAGCACAGTTAAAATCAGGAAGAATCTCAATGCATGGGAGAGGACATAAGGGTATAGAGCAGAACATGACTTTATACTGCTGCAAATGGTTAAGCACTCCAACACTAGCCGAAAGTTTGGCAGTTCAAACCTATCCAGAGGAGCCTTGGAAGACAGGCCTTGTGATCTGCTTCTGAAAGGTCACAGCCTTGAAAACCCTTGGAGCAGTTCTACTCTGCACACATGGGGTTGCCGTGCATCAGAATCAACTTGATGGCAACTGAACAACACCAAAAAAGATTCCCAGGCTAGAAAATGCATTCCTGGATAATTATCAAGAAATGTGTTCTCTGTTAACTTTCTTTTATATTTAATGGTCCTCACTGAGCCCCTTTAAGAGCAATACATTTACCACGTTCACAACAGCAACAGATCCAGTGAACTGAGCATGGAAAAGATACCAAAAAAAATCCACATTCATATACAAATAAGTATGCAAAAAAGGAAAAAACCAAGCAAAACTAAAAATTTTTCTTATATAAACTTTCAAATATATATGAAAATAGAGAAAATAACATATCCCTATGTACCTAACACCTTGCTCCAATTATTAACTAATGAACAAATTTGTTTCATCTACACCCCTACTCTAATCCCCCATTACTTTGAAGCAAATCTCAGACATCAGATCATCTATTTGTAAATATTTTAGTATGTATGTCTAACAGAAAATATTCTGTTTTTTAAAAAAGTACAATCTTAATACCATTATCACACCTGAAAAAATTAACAATGATTCCTTAATAGCCAATTGATGCTATCTCTCTTTGTAAAGAACGCTACTAGCGAGACTACCTTGTGGCCTATGCCACTTCAGTTTTCATTAATACTCTTTAACAACCACACTCACAGAAAGCTGGCACTAGTGGGCACAAAGATGAGAAACGGAAGAGGGGAGGATTTAACTACTTGCCTCATTTCCTCCTGGAAGCCTGTTCATGTGGACCAGCTGTCCTTGATCATCCAACACCAGCTCAGTATACGTCAGCATGTCAGAAGGCAGTGGTGGTGATGGAAGGAATGCTTGAGTGTACATAGACTCCCAGAGCTTGATCAGAGACTAGTGGAGGGAAGAAATTTGATGAATCATTGACAATTACCATTTCAATATGGGCAACAATGAATATAAACATTAGGCCAATCGGGTTTGTTTTCTCCTTTCCTAAGTGTTCTGTTTAGAGTCTTTAGTGTTAGACTAAATTCTCCAGCTTCCATTCTTAGTTAAAACAAAATTATAAAAAACAATATCCTTGCCAGAAATCAGGCATGTTTCCAACAAAGTCAAACCACTGAATGATTCTAAATCAGCACTAGAGCATTAACAAACACAACAGACCTGGCAATATCCCAGGAAAAATAAAAAAACTAAGAAGTGGCATCAACGCTTTCTAAAGAAAAAGAAAAAAATTCTAGAGAAACTTGGCGAGAAGAGTAACCAAGAAAGTGACATGACAATCAGCTAATACAAGAAAATCCAGGAAGTCAAGATTAAGATTTCTGATAGAGATTCAGAGGAAGCATCTTCTTTCTAATATCTGTTCACAGCTACAGGCTCATATATAGGAATTAGCTCACTAGATTTGTAGACCTGATATACAGGCATAGGTACAGAATTAAGTAAGGCTATATGTAAATGTGCAGATCAATTCTGCTCAAATTTTAGAAAACAGACAAACCTGTCCATTTTAAAAACATCATGATTTTCACTCCCAATTTCATATAAATAAACAAATCCCTGCTGAAGTGGGTACTGGTTCAGTTCCTTTTTTGCTTACCTTAAAGCAACATTTAAAGCCCAAATGGCTCATATATCCCTACATGTCCTAACCACTGTATTTATGTCTATTACATAGGAAGAATTACACAGAATGGAATTTCCATTTATAACACTGGCACTGGGAAACAGGACCAACACTCAACTGTTGGGTTAACAATACTATGAAAGGATAGTACTGAATGAAGACAGCTATGTTTCCAGAGACAGAGCTTGTAAACAAATGGTTACATAAAGGGAATCTCTTGTATTTGTGGATAATACAGGAATTGTAGACTATTTACCAAGGCCACATATTATTACTTTATTAAAATTCAAATGCGGTAATATTGGTAGTACTGACCAGAAGACTTGGAAAAATGCTATATTCATAGATTGTTTTAAAGGACAAATTCAGTATTCTTTTGATACCTTATTCTTTATCTGTTGCATTTTTTGTTAGTGATATACTTTTCTTGCCTCCTACTGATGGAAGAAAAATCTGCAGCATAGAGAGGATTCACTCACTATATAAATCAAAGAAATTTATTTTCATGTAGAGGATAAGATTCATAATGTCATGTTTCCTCATGTTAGTTTTTATTCTGCTATAATAAACCTCCCACAAAAAAAAAAAAATACTTATACTTTAAACTGTGTACAATGAACTCTATATATCTATTTGTATATGTTATCTACTTTGATTCTCATCATATTAACTTAGGCTATCAGCTAGGGACCTGGGTTATCTTGGAAAACAGGAAAATGAGAACTAGAGTTTCATACCCCTTTTTAATATCCATAATTTGAATATAGGCTTAGGAAATTTATACCTCAGTGTAACTCCTCAAACAGGCCATTGTAAACTACCACCACAGACATGTGGTCTCAGTTTATTCTCTTCTACTTAATAGAGGTTTCTATTCTCACCATATCTCCTGTCAATTCATAATATAAATTAATATAGTGAGTGTCCTGAGTTGACAGCCAACATACCCTAGAGTAAGAATGAAATGAGAATAGAATCAAGGTATTTCCTGTCCTTTGGGAATAGCCCCTTTTTGGTCAAAGCTGCATCTGATGGAAACGGAGGAAAACCTTGCCTTCCTGGAACATGTCAGAGCCCCCAGTAAGCCGTCTTTACCTGCCGAAACATCTCTGGGATATCATATATGTAAGTTGTCCCTAAGGATTGTGCCTGGAACCTCTTTGATTGAAGCAGGTCTTTGGTCACATATGGAGTGTTGATTAACATTCCATGTAGTGGTCCCTGTTTGTCCCCATATGCCTGAAACATGATCTGCAGGAAAAAAGAGAATGACATGGGGAGTTAAGCGACAGAGAAAAAAATCAGATAGCTACCTAGGAGGTCTTTTTCACAAGTGTTATTTCTTGAAACACATTTTTGGTGGTGGATGGGGTAGCTAAGACATTCCTCTTAACATTAAGTACTTGGTACTCTCACCTCTCTACAGATAAACCAACTCCAAAAAAAAAAAATGGTATGTAACTAACCATATACCATAAGCTGCTCTCATTTTTTAATTAGTTGAAATTAACAAAAAAGCACAGCATCAATTTCATTGACAATGTTTGCCTTCTAATGTGACAATGAATCCCACATACTCAGAAACAAAGTATGGCCACTAACCAGTCAGAGTCGTCCTATTATTTAACCTGAGGAACCGCTATGTACTAAAAGATAATTCTGTTCTTTTCCCAATGGTAAAAAGCCAGATCAAGATTCTAGTATATTATTTGTGCTTCAGTCTATTTGATTAGAATGCACTTTATAAGCATTATTAGTCACACAAAGCCTTCAAAAAATTTTTAGAAGTAGGTTTCACCTATCCATCTAGTTACTATACAAGACACAGCCTATAGTAATATATGTATATATTTTTTTTCTCTCCAATATACCCTGGTTATAACTACTGAATAGCTCCTGCAATATCTATCTTGCCACATAATGAAATCACCACACCAGTTTTTAATCATTTTAACTCAAATATTTCTAGAAGAGTACTTCATACTCTATATATTTAGATAGTTTTATTTGCTTATGAATATTTATAAGGGATGCTATTATTTCAACTCAATTTATATTTATTGAGTGCCCAGAGGTTATATGACACTAAACTAGGCACTTTACGCATGAATACAGAAAATACAGATTCCCAATGCAGTGAATACAAATGAAGATTGGGATATAATAGACACACCTGCATATCTGTGTGGGTCTAAAAAATATAATCACAAGTCTACCATTAATGAATAGATTTGTAGACCTGATATACAGGCATAGAAAAATAATTAAGTACTTTCCTAAACCCTGGGCACAGTTCTCTTCTCCCAGTCAGCTAAGGGTATCCTTCACCTAGTTTAGCTCAGAGGAATAAGAGTATTCTGCTAACCTGTCAATCAGGTCCTGTTTTAGACAAAACTTGTCTAACGCTGCATTAAAGCCCTACGGAATAGACCTCCCAGTCCTCTTCCACAGGACCACTGGGGAAAGTCACCATGTGGAAGGAAGAAGTAGCAATGTCTTAGGAATGTAGTAATGTTTTAAGAGATTTAAAGTGTTAAGTGAGGCAAGGATGTTGGTATGAGAAAACTGGACTCAGGAGATAAGTTGAATCAAAAGAAAATAGAGTAAAATCAGTAGATTCTTGGGACTGCATTCCTGTCTATTAAGAGAGACAAGACCTGTGGGTATAGGGTTTGGAATTCAGTTTTGCCAAACTCTGGAATGAAGTTATGCTGGTCATAATTAAACAACATAACTGTGTGCACTGAGGAAGGGGGTTGGAGAAAGTCCTCCAGGTACATACATCCACACATCGCAGGTGGAAATTTAAAATGGTACAGCCACTTTGGCAAAGAGTTTGGTAGTTCCTATAAAACTAAAAGTATACTTACTATGACCCAGCAATTACATTCTAATGTATTTACCCAAGAGAAATGAAAGCATATCCACATAAAGATTTGTAAATGAATGGTCATAATAGCTTTGTCCATCAACAGATGGATCTATATAAACATTGTGGTATACCCATATAATAGAATACTACCCAGCAAAGAAAAGGAACAAACCAGTAATCCGTGTGACATGGTTGAATCTCAAAAACATTATGCAGAGCAAAAGAAGCCAGACAGAAAATAGTACATATTGTCTGATTTCATTTATATGAAATTTGTTATGGATTGAATTATGTCCCTCCAAAAATGTATGTATCAATTTGGCTGGGCCATGATTCCTGGTATTGTGTGATTTTCCTATATTATGTAAATCCTGCCTCTATGACGTTAATAAGGCAGGATGGGTGGCAGTTGTGTTAGTAAGGCAGCACTCAATCTACAAGAAGGGATTGTGTCCTGAGGCAATCTCTTGAGCTATAAAAGAGAAAAGTGAGCAGAAAGACAGGGGGATCTCATACCACCAAGAAAGCAGTGCCAGGAGCAAAGCATGTCCTTTGACTGGGGGTCCCTGCACAGAGAAGCTCCTAGTCCGGGGGAACACTGATGAGAAAGCTGACAGAGAGAAAAAGCCTTCCCCTGGAGCTGACGCCCTGAATTTGGACTTTTCGCCTACTTTACTGTGAAGAAATAAATTTCTCTTTGTTAAAGCCATCCACTTGTGGTATTTCTGTTATAGCAGCACTAGATGACTAAGACAAAATTCTATGCTAGGACAGAAGAAATTAATCTACAGTGACAGAAAGCAAATCACTGGTTGCCTAGGACTGGAGTTGGTGCCCCTATCTTTCACCGCAAAGGGAATGAGAGAACTTTTTGGGGGGATGAAAATGTTCTCTATCAGGATCATGATGGTGATTATGTACATGGGTGTATCCAATTGTCAGAATGCACTGAACTGTACAGATAAAATGGGTACACGTTATTATATGCAAATAATTATCTCAATAAAAGTGATTTAAAAATGTATATTTTCCCCATAACACATTGGAAATCAATTCACTTATGCAATGGATTACCCAGTATCTTCTCTGCACTTTGACTGCCTACATCGGTGTTTGTTACAACCATTACCACCAAAACTACAGAAGGAAAATGAAAAAGTTCCATCAAAAAGGCTTCTCTTTTGGAAAACAACCACTGATCCTTATAATTCTGTGCTTATTTCATAATAGCACTTACCATACCACAGACAACTATCTATTTGTCTTCGGGAAGGGACTGCTTTTGGTATCTATAGTGCCTGACACACTATAGGTGGCCAATAAATGTTGAATTAACGAACAAATGACACACATGGCTCTGTATTATCTTAAATTCATGTAACGATTCACTGAAGCAAAGGGGAAAAACAAGTTGGCAATGAGCCCAAGCAGGCATTAGTAGCACCAGAGCTGGGGTGGGAGGCTGCTCCTTTTGTCAGTTCCCTCCTCCAGTCATGGGCTCACAAGTTAGTTAACCCGCAGCACTGGCTCTTGAACTCTCTCCACTAAAAAGCCTGAGGGAGACCTCTTCCTTCAGGACTTCCTAAATACGCAGGACCCATGGTAAAAGGAGCTCCCCCTTAAGTTGAAAGTGGCTCAGCCACTCTTCCGGATATTTATTGAGTGTATATGTTGTGCCAGGCAAAGTACTAAACCTTGACTGAAGGTGTCTGTGCCTTTCATGCTCCTGTGACACCACTAGCCAGCATGAGGGAAATCTAAGAGCTTTCTAAGAAAAGAAAAAAAGTAGTTATGAAGAACAAACATATTTACCAAAAACATTAAAATCTCAAGTGGCCATCTTATTTTTCACACGAATAGACCTGCCTTGAAGCCATTGTAGAAGTTAATTAAAAACATCCCTGCCCATGGAAAGCTTTGACTGAAAATGTCTTTAAGGTTGTCCTGGAAAACACTGAATACAGCAAAAATTATTGAATACTCTGTCTCTTGCTCACCCCTCACGCTCTTGCGCTCTCTCTCTGTTTTAACTGTTCACTTCTCATGGGATAGATTTCTCTAGCCATCTAGCTGAGAATCAAAGCACAAAATGAAAGGTCACTCTGACAACTGTCTAAACTCAGATTTTTAAAATTCATCTTCAAAAGACTGGGAAAAAATATCTTTGCCTACCTCTGTTCCTAGCTTTAAAAGGACATAGACAAAAACAAGAAACACATAAGGTGTTCCTGGCACCCATGCAGAGAACAGACTGAAAAAGCCTTGTTTATGCATACTGGAGCAAGTGTGACCTTTAATCAGAAGGGATGCACTTTCCAAGTTCAAGCCAAAGCCCTAAAATAACATCCCAGTTCTTAAAAAGACATGAGCAATGGTGAACCAACCTAATCTAGTATCACAGAAAATAGACCAAATATTTAGAAACGAAGGTAGCAAAACAGATTAAAAGGAATTCTCTGTTACTGCAGAATCAATCTACTAAAAGACTCACTTTTCTTTCCATTTTCACAGTCTCCTTTTTCTACCTAAAAAAATGGGTTACAGTTTGCCACTTAGCTCTTTTGTAGATATATATAACGGGCAAACTCTTTGAAGGAAAGGTGATAATCTTTGAAGACACTTTGGTGAACTCTTTGGAAAAGTATAAACAGATTAACATAATGGGTAAATATAATAAAATCACTGATTTTATCATATTTTATGATAAAATTACTTGCCAAAGAGCGGTCTATCTGGGCTGAAAACAGAAGGACAAATCAGACCAGAAAAGACTAGATTGTTGAAATGCCCTAAGAGCCCTCTGAAAGAGCCCTAAACTACAGAAAAACCTCTGGAGTGAGGTTCACGTGGCATCTGTTAAGTGCTCACCAATATGTGACAAAAGGTTGATGGTTTTATAACATCCATGATCAAGGACATAGGCACATCTTATAAGGCAAATGAAAAGTTTTTCAAAATTCATACAACCATCTTAAGCTGAGAGATGATAACCCTACTAGGCGAATCAATGGGATTTGCAAGTTTGAGTCTTCCGTAACAAGGACAAATGGCTTAGTTGTCGAACAAAATCAGAACTCTGAGGAGCCTGCCTGACTACCGTACCTGTGCCGTTCTGGAGTCAGTCACTTCCTTGTACAGGCTGATGTCCAAGTAATAGCCAGACTCGTTTGTCAGGAAGAGGCGGATAGGAATTGCTTTTCCAGTTGGTGTCAGGCGAATGTTGATTTTCAGTTCTGCCTGGAGGACGCGCAATTTCCACAGACGACTTCCATAGCGCATTACCATGCTCCGCACAGATTCCTCAATCTGACACAAACATATCACCAAGCACAAAACTTAAATACCCTGTAACCAGGACCTGTTTCAGGACTGCTCATCTTTGGAAAAAGGTGCTGGTTTCTGGAGATGTGTACCTACATACAGTCCTTACAAAAAGTGGTCATATAGTTTCTCCCCAACCCTACTCTTGCTTGGAACAAGTCAGAGATGACTTCATGCTGCCCTGGCATTTGAGAGGTTTTCTCTGGCTCACAACACCCAAATCTGTACAACTCCTTCCCCTTTTTCCCAATTAGATTCATACTCTGGTTTATATCAAAGATCTGCAATATGTAAAATTACAAACCCTGGGATTTACGAGAAAGCTCCAAATAAGAATAAAACCTCTAGTTAAGCAGCTATTAAGTAGCATTTATATGCATGGTAACTATGTTTCACTGCACTTACAGGACCTTAAATCAGCATAGCAATTACCACCATGAGCTTTTTCCATACAATTTTATTACACTTATAGTATATGCCTCTTGATAAACTGCACAAATTAAAGAAAGGTTATTTGCAGGTGCTGCTAGAAAGTTCTCTCTAAAGAGAGTCTGAAGCTTGATCATTGCTAAGTCCAACTGAGATTTAGGTAGATGAGATAGATGTTTCTTAGTTTCTCTAAGCTTCATACCAAGGTGGCTTAGTGCTCCTAGTTTTCAGGGTTAGGAGAGTTATTTTAACTAATTGGCTTTAGACATGATTTCTCCTTACTGACATACTAAAGTGAAACTTTTCTTCCCCCAATACAACTGCAGGCAACTAGGACATACAACTCAAAATTAATGTTTTCTTAAATGAAATCTCTTTCTAAAATGCTTTCTTAACAAAATTCAGAAAGCAAAACTCCATGCCTACAATAGATTTTGAGAAAGGGAGACACTGGTTCTTCTACTCAAAATTCTACAATATTATAGAAAAAAGTGAAAGTGAGCAGAAACAGAAAGCAGCCTGCCTTCATTACACCTGGGATAAAAGGTCAAGTGCAGAAACACCCTGTTTCCTTCCTTAAATTATATGGAATGTATTTTAGAATAGAACCTCAGTGAAGAAAACACACATAATACATGTGAAATTCCTTATCAACCACATTCTCTTATGAAGAAATACGACAGAGAAATAAGTTAGGCACACTGGAAAGGTGCATTATCTTGCTAAGGTCACCAGGTAAGTAACACTTAGTTTACAGAAGCAGTAATCTACTCAGTGGTACTCATGTGAACTGTAGAGTTCATGCAATTTTTCCAAAATGTCCAGAAACAACGAAATAAATATTCCAGATGAGAAATCCTAGGGAATCATATAAAACAGGACCACTACGATGGCAAATATCATAAAACAGGGACCAATGTGGGAAGAGAAAGAGTTTGTATGTTTTGGCACTGCTTATAAACAACCAGCATGGTATCATCGTAACACCTTCAGCTTTAAGCTCCGCTTTCAATGGTTATACCAAATTTTCTACACTATCCCATAAACCCAGTCTTACGGGCATTCTGTAAACTTCAAAGATTAAGGACTCAACCAGCTGAAAAGGAGTACCTGTTTCCAAGTCCAAGTGAGAATAAATATGAATGAACCTCTCTGGCTTGTGCTTTCTAGGGCTGGGAGAGAAGCTGAGGAGAGATGTACCTTTGATGGGTCCATGATAACTGTGGGCACAAAATTGAGGAAGATGTGGTTACAGTCAGTACGGACATTTGTATTGTTAAAAGCGACTTCCAACTCATCCATGGCTTCCAGGAGCAGCCGCTCGCCTTCATTTTGTAGATATTCAAAAGAAGCTTCCTGTGCAGGGAGAAGGTCACCATCAACATTAATGTGTTTTAAAAGAGGCAATAAAGAATAGTTGTTATAATTACTCAAGCAGTAGTATGTCATAAATCATAAGGGGCCTGGTGAAGATGTTATTTACCCTTCTCCCTAGAGTCATACACAGTCGGCCCAATGACCACAGGCAGCAGGGGCAGGCAGGGGTCAGAAAAAGTCCCTGCCAGCCCTTTCTGCTGCCTCTCAGAGTATCACTCCCCTTCAACAGGTGGAGATGCTGGACATCCCCAAAGCTGTAGTCCCTATCTGATTATATTTCACATATGCCAAATAGAGCTAAACCTGTTTAGGAAGGAAAAGCTGAAGAAGGTTATGGTTATGGGATGCAGTAATAACTAACACACCAGTAAGTGCCTTGCTACATACAGACACTGCCCAGACCTCTGGACAGGTTTACACAGAGGTCACCTCTTTTCTCACCTTTCTCCTTATCCTCCATCATCACCCAACTCTGATTTTTCTGTTAGTATATTGTTCCTTTTCTCAAGTGAGTACTATCATGATTCCATTACTAAGAAAAATCAAATTAACAGGGGGAAAAAAGCCCTTTATTATATGGAATATTTATTTTTGTGAGAGAAATGACTCCCAAACCTCTCCTGGTTATTGCAGAGTGGGATACAAGAGCCTCGATTTAAAAAATAGAAACCTGATTTTGAACCAACCCTTCTCTCAGGAACAACTCCACACTAAAATACAGCACCCACCTTGGTGACCAGGTCAGAATGTCTGATGATTGCCCGCACAAAGAACCTGTAGTCTGTCACTTCTGTGCCCACTTCCACCTTGGCGGCCCCAAGATACAGGTGCATTTTGTGGTTAGCACATGGGATGGCAGTGAGGTCAAAATTTCTCATCCGGTTCAGTTCCAATTGAAAAGCCAGTGCAGGCTCCAGGTGACGATATATACGATCCTCTTCAAACTGAGTACAAGAGTGGGAGGAAAAAACAGCTCACAACAGGCAGTTACAAAATTGTATGATGAACGTATATGTAAAAGAGATGCTTGAAAACAGAAACATAAGCTATGATGTGCTAATGAGCAACAAAAATGAGCTACAGCTATAGCTTACATAAGATTAGGCACTGAAGCATCTATTCACTTCCCAAGCTTTCATCACTTATGCTTTTACAAGTAGTGATGCCCTCCATTAAAAACAAAGAAACAAAACAGCGAAACAGAAAGAAAACCTTGCTCAATTCCCTCAGAAATCCTGTTGCACTTAAATGTTTTTATAATTCATTTTTGACTTTTAACCACAAACTGCTTCACATTAATATCTACTTCACATGTCAATGTTTGGCCTATCCAACTAGTCTAAAATGCTTAAGGGCAGGGCCTGTGTTTTACACTCCAATCATTTCTGGCACAGTAAGAAGGGCATAGTAAATATTCAACAAATAAACAGATACACGCATTTTAAAGAGATAATTTGGTTTTGGAACATGCTATTTATAGCTGTGTAACTATTTAAGTGTCCTTTTAAAAAGTTGTATTAATACATTTACGTTTTGCTGAAACTAAATTGTTTTTCCAGCATCCACTTCCATTGAGTGAATGGAGAGAGAACGCCAAAAATATAAGCTGGTAACAGGAAGAAACCAACATAGTTTGAAATTATTTACTTTAAAATTGAAAAACAAATGCACACAAACAAGAATTGATTATAAAGGAACTATCTGTAGGTGGCAAGAATAGTCCTACTAAGTACAGGTAAAAACAAAAAATAAATCCGTTGCCATCGAGTCGATTCCAACTCACAGTGACCCTATAGATAAGAGTAGAACTCTTTCCAAGGAGCAGCTGGTGGATTTGAACTGCCAACCTTTTGGTTAGCAGGTAGCAGCCCTTTAATATCACCTCATTAGGATCATTCTAAACAATAGAGATGATTTTGAAATTTATCGCCTTCTTTGGGTTGTTCAACACATTGACTGTTTCCTAAACCAAACTCTTTCAGAAGGGAGTCTTCTCTAGTTCTAAGACGCATGTAAGGCAAAGGGAAGCACAAGTTCAGTTAGAGAAAGGAGATGGCCCAAGAGCGTATGGCAAAGATAAGCCACTATTAGGCTTTAAAATAAGCAAACAAAGACTTAAAAAAAAAGAAGGAATGAATCCTTACCTTATCCCTTGCTCGAAATGTGAAAAATTTAGGGAATTCTCTCTGTGTTGAAGAAGGGGGGAGAATTTGTCAGTCTTTCATAAATATGGCTCTTTAGGGTAGACAAATAGTATAGAGGCAGTCAAGTATCTAGAAGACAGTTTCTTAGAAAACATGCTACTTACTTAAACTTAGTCCAGGGAATATGAATGATCCTTTGGCTAATGACACCACTTCCAAATTTGAGAATCACCACACTATTAACCTAATTTCAATATCTACCCTCTCCTAGGGGGAAAAATTGGTATTTTTTTCATCTCCCAAGTAAACAAAATCTTCCTAGGTGCTACTCTTGGCACAATCTGGCAAATAAAACCAATACACCCTTATGCTGCAGCCACAGCAATGGTAGTTACTGAACTGATTTCCCAAGTTTCTCCTTAAACTCTTAAAATGTAAACTAGCCAGACATCATAGAATCCCCAGTCCACGTTTTTTTCACATTCATTCTCAAGTCAACAATTTCAAGGGTTTAAACAATAACATTTCAAGACAAAGAAAAGTACAAGATGCTACTTTGGTCACTACCATTATATGTATAGAAAAGAATGGGGTGGAACTAGTGAACTTGTAATCATCAGGTCTTACTGCTCTTTTGCAGGGCATTAACAAGAAAGCAACCAATTTACTAGAACCTTATTAATTAACAAAGATGAATTCAATTAACAGAGTTCATTAGTTTCTGAAATTTAACTTATTAACACCAAATACCTCTGTTTCTCGGATGGGAAGCTCTATGTGTAGTGTTGGAATCAAGTCATTACTATTTGCCTCTATAGGAGGTTTCATTAGACATCTTCTTCATTATGAGAGCAATATAATCAAACACTTCTTGGTACAAGGCAGAGAGATCAGGACTAGCTGCCTAACTCTCTCTCCAAGAGCTTCAGGAACCACAAAGGGAAGATGGACTGAACGCCTTCTGGGTGCCACGCACTCTGGTGTGCTGTCCCATTGAATGCTCTCAACAACCTCTTGAGGCAGGTATTATGTATGACCCCTGTTTTAGAGACGAGGAGCCAGAATGTGACTTGGGTCTCTCTAATGCCAGAGTCCAAGCCCTTTTCATCTATATCACTCCACCTCTCAAATGCAGGGTATTACCTTTCTAGTTGTGTTATCATCCAAATTCCTTATTTAAAGGATTTCTCTTCGATGAGAGAAAAATTAGGAACCAAGACTTTAAAGAAAAAAGCAGAAAACAAACTAACAAAGTGAAACTCATGCTGAAAACTTGTGGTTCTTGACTTTATAAAAATTTCTTGAATATTTTCGACAGGTATTATACCTTATCCTCACCTTAACTAAAGCTTGCAAGGTTAATAAATCATTTTACATTTTCCTTGGCATTTTAACTGTAAAACTGCATTTAACAGGCTCTTAGGAGCCCATTTACCAAGCCTGGGGAAACCCCTTGTCCAGGCTAGGATCCCTAAAAGCCCTTTGAAAATGGATTTTACACAGGACTGATCTTTTACTGATAGTGTTTTGTTCTAAACTCTGACCTCCCACTGAACAACAGTGAAGAACAAGAGGATGGCATCAAGGTTACACAGAAAGATGTTCAGCTGAGCTGACAGTAAATTTCGTGCTCACGGCTTTGTATAGTCTAGTTTTGGTTTTATTCCAGAGAGGCTGGGCTTTCAGAGCATTACCTAAAAAAGTAACATGACAAAAAAAGGAAGGATAACAAAATCCTTCCATGGAATTCTCTGAAATAAAAGTCAAGGAAAGTGATACTACAAACTTTTAAGCACACACTCATCTATTCTGTCATAGTTATTAATCAGCTAGCTAATTAAAATATTTACTTAGTATGCTATTTATTCAAGCCTAGGCATTTGTAGATTAAAAACATTTTCCTTCAAAAAAATAATAATAACCAAAAAAACCCTTTTTCACTAAACCAATTAAGAAAATTTGTAGTAACTAAAGGTCATGAAAAGTAAACAACTTGAATGGAAATACCTTTATTACAAATAGTGAAAGAGACTGACTAATTCTTGGCACAGGTGGAAAATGACTACCAGTCAGAAAAATCACTTTCATTAAGGTTATTTAAGAAAAAACGTCATGAGACAAACAAACTTTTTGGAAAAAATTTCTGAGTACATTTTCAGCCCTATAGTAAAATCCTCAATTTAAGTATGGAGCATTCAGGGCAGGATGCAATAGGAAGGTAGGACTACTGAGCAATTCTTCAAGAGATCTGAAGTCTGAAGACTTTTATAGAAAAATCTACTCAATAATACTGCTTTTGGCACTGAAAAACGACAGAAACAGTGCCTAAAGACAGAAAAGAAAAAATCCAAAAGTCTCTGATCATATAGTTTTAGTAAATTCTTTCATCCAACCTCATCCTCATACTGCAATTTTTCCACTAACAGCATTCATGCTTATTCCATCACTAATGTAATTGCTTTCCAGGCATTCTACTAGTGTTATGGGCAAATATCATAATTGAATGTACACAAAGAAAAACACTCTTAGTCTTCTGGTACCAAAAAACAAAAGAATGCAACATATCTCAGGAAGAAATTATACTCCTGCTGTGTTCTAATCAGCCAACCATCATCAAGACAATCAAAATAATTTGCCTAAATTAGCCAATCAAGACACCCTGCAAATCAGAGAATGTGAAAACCTGCAACAGAAAACATCATAGCTGATTATGATACTAATAATCGTGTTAAAAACCTAATGAGATGAAGAAATTGGAAGCTTGCTGGTGCAATTCTCTTTTACCTCAACATGCTGAGAACTAATTATATAGACTGTAATTAAAACAAAAATCCAAACCAAACCTTCTGAAAAAGTAATAGTTGGTCCACTAGCAAACAGAACAACTTTTTTTTAAAAAAAAAAAAAAAGAAATGAACTACTAACCACAATAACTTTATGACAGTGGGCTCTTCCTTCAGGGCCAAAATTAAAAAATATATATATTAATTTTAAAGTAGGAGTCACTTAACAATCAGTAAAACTACAACTATCTCTTGGGTGATTCATAGCAGAATTTTAAAATCTCATGAAATCTTATAAGCAAGAAACAAAGGAAACATTTTAACAGATGTAAAACTGTTTGATATCTCAGTTTTTGGGCCTAATGCCTTTGTTTAGGTGCAAAAGATAAATAAAAAATCCTGAAAATATGCATTTTGTGCATTTTGGTGTCCTTAATAAAACTTAGTTGAAAAAACATGGAAAACTTCAAAAAGAATATAATAACTTGTATCTTGTTAGACAGTACTTTCTGCTGTATTTTTTGGAATTCCCAGGCCTGAAACGTGAAACTAATAGAGACAAAAAAAACCAAACCCACTGTCATCATAGGGATCCTATAAGACAGAACAGAACTGCCCCATAGGGTTTCCATAATCTCTACGGAATCTGGCGGCCACATCTTTCTCCTATGGAGCGAGTAGTGGGCTTGAACCACTGACCTTACGGTTGGCAGCCGAGCGAGTGCTTAACCACTGCACCACCAGGGCTCCTTTATACTATAGAAACTTGTAGAACTGCAGCTTAAATAACTACAGAAATTCAAGGAGCTTTTGCTTCCAAAGCTTCAATTTTTTTTAATACAAAGAAGATAGTAGACTTGTTTTTCCTCAAACTTTTCCTTTAATATCAATGTTAAGCAGTTATTCAAGTCCCATTATGGGTACTTGATTTAATTAGATGGTTATGGAAACAGACTTGACATTAAGTCTCTTTAATGCTGGTGAATAATGCCAGCTCAGAAGAACAGTCTCTGTGTACAGTCAACAGACTACGGCAGCAGTAGACATTCCCGTGGACATGTCCCTGGGGACTGTAGTGGTTAAACAATGAAGTTCTGGAAATGCTTACACCCTCACTGGCATCTGAATAAACACCTAATAACGTACAGACTTGGTTGGAACCTCTGTTGCTCTGGCCCTCACATGACTTGTTCTGGCTCTGCAGCTTGCTGCTGAAGCAGTCTGAAAGATAGTCTGAAGACTATGTAACAGTATAGCTGCTTCATTCCCCCCAAGCCTATGTTGTTCTTGAACCAGTCTTGGTAACCTTCTTCCTTTCCTTGCCCCCTCACGCATTCTTCTATTCAATAATATAGGGATTTCACAGTGTAGCCCACGGAAGGCTGCATACATCACAGTGGATTACCAAGAAGCCAGGGCGATCAAGGGATTCATCTCTAACACTACCAGAAAGCTTCCTCTTTTTCTACTACACTAAGGGGCAAGCACACATCAGATGACATGACAGAGGCTAAGCATCCTTCATGAATGGCAAGCTACCACCAGCAGAGGCACTCACAGCAGCGCCAATGACAGCAAGCCCCAGATTTGTACAACTCTTGCCAAGGCTTCTGGGCTATTGTAGATCCTGACTGGAATACAATAATAGTTGCCCTGGCCCCCTGCATAACCACTAATCATTTCTAAGGGGCCTAAAATAAAAACACTCCACCTCCTCTGCCCTTCAATTCTTCAGAGCAAATCAGTCCACAAGTAAATCTTAATATCTTCTATGTCTAAAGCAGGTTTTCCAACACTCGTGACAAATCAAACCACTTGATTATTTAACTGATTTCTCATTTGATGCCACTATAAATAGGAACTGGACAATGATTCCCAGGGAGGAATCCCTACTGGGCTCATTTCGAAGTAGATTTTGCCTATACATGTCTCTATTCAACCTAAATCTAGTGATACTGGGAGAGCAGGGAGAGAAAATGTTTTAAAGCTGTTAGATATACTCTAGGACATGACATAGATTCACAAAGAAAGGGTTTTTTTTGGTATATATTTTACACTTAAAAATAATGTCAGTGAGAACTAACGTCACTGTTTTTTAAAATATTTTAGTGGAGAGTTTTAATTCATTATGGAATGAATTTATCATAGGAAACCAGTTAGCATGCTATAGATGTAAAGACTCTGTCTGAGCCACAAGGAAAAAAGGGAAACAATTATACAAATTCAGTATTTTTCCCCACAATAATACGATTGTATTCCAAAGGCAGTGAAATAAGAAAAATCAAGTTAACACTTAAGAACCTTGCCTAATATTCTTCCCAAATCCAGGGCCTGGCTCTGGCAGAACTACCTATGCTAGTTCTGACCAGCATCTACCAGCCACAGTATTTATTCATAGGCTCTCATATTCTATCCCGAAGTATCAATTTTATTCTCTAAGCTCCTGATTTTTCTTCCTAAAGCCCCACGGTTCTCTTTAAGCTCCTCATATTTCTCCACTGTCTCCAGTTTCCTATTCAAAGTTATTGATTGATATATATCTGCACTCTGCTTGGTTTCCTGTCATCAATAACACAGGGGAGTTGTGTAGTCCACAACATTTCCTAAAGCATTTCACAAAATCTTGGCTCTTTAGCTTGCAGGTAGGTTCTCTTGTTTCCCTATAGACTAGCCCAATAAGGCGAACTGTGAGAGGGAAAACAGAATGTCAAGTGCTAGAGACCTAATAAACAAAAGGGCAATAAAAACAATTACAGGTAGGTCCTTGAATTTAGAAAGTCCTTTCCAGAATCTCAAATGTTATCTTTATTAATGCAAATGAATACAGCTTGAAAACTAATTACATTAACTGCTAAAATAAAAAAAAATTCTTATCAGGAAAAGTAAAACTTCATAATATCCTCTGGAATCTTATTTAGCTACATTAGGATCACTTTTTAGAGAGATATTGTGACTACAATTAGCCATTTTAGAGAATGAGATCTTCATTGTAAACTGAATTTTTTACCTCACCGCCAAATATCTTTTCAATAAAAATTTTATTCCCATAAATATTAACAGTTAATTCAGTTAAATGGGAAAACAAGCAAATTAATGTTTACTTTTTGTTTATTTCCTGCTCTTAGAATTAACATAATTAACAAGGAAAAAAACCCCACCAACTTAGGCTTTGTTAAGGCATTTTTAATAACAAATTATTGTTCTTCAGAACTGAAAATTTTCAATAATAGAACTTGAATCCATCTTTGGTAGAAGCCAAGACCCCAAAGTGCAACGGGCAGTTCTTGACTATTGATTGACTGTGTGCACCAAAGAAATTACTAGTTAGCTCCTGCTTCTACCTTATTCATCTGGATAAAGGCATATGCACATTCTTAACTATTTCTCAGAAATATATTGAGAATTCACTATAGGGTAAAACAAAACAAAAAAACAAGCCTTTAGTTGGAACACTCAGTAGAAGAACTGAATATTCATTATCATACTTTCGAAAAGGAGAGGGACCGAATGTTACTCCAGCCCTTTTAAGTAACTCACACGTATTCTATGTTTAAATAATCAGTGGCATACAAATAAAACAGTAAGTATATCTTTCGTTATTATTTCTTTTACTTACATGAAATCTCTGATCCACCTCATAGTTGACCTGTTTCCTGAAATCCTTTCAAGTGAAAGGCAGAAAGGGAAAACAGCGGAAGTTACCAATTAGTAATTAAATTAAAAATGCACTGAGTAAAAGGTGATGAGTTAAACTAATGTTTTTTCCTTAATTAAATTTACAGAAACACAGTTACTTCTCTTTATAAATTCTACAAGGAAGCATATGATTGTAATCCCATTTTTATTTTTAATAGCTCTAGCAAGCAGCATAAGAAGTATTAGAAAGGTACTATTTACATGCCAATACCTTTTGTGCCACCAGGAAAGTAAGGCGCCGGATTCCATGCTCAACCAGAGTAGCTTTCTATGAACAAACATGTAAAATATAAGATAGATAAGATCTCCATTCATCCAAAATTTTACCTCATGCAGTCCTCTTAAGTCTCTAAGTGGGCTAAGCACCTTTTCTGGATACCTACATCTTGGCTCAGTACCTCCAAACTTGCAAATAAACAAATCTTAATCTGGCTCGTGGGACTAAGCAGTATGGCGTAGGTTTTATATAAATCTGGACAAAATTGAGAGAGAACTCTATGGAGAAGGGGTCATATGAGGTCACTTCAGTTCTCTCAGGACTGATTCATACCAAAGTAGATCTTAACACAACTTCTGCTTACAGAAATCACACTGGTGAGCATGTACCTAAATGTGAAGATTAACAGTGATACAGAAGCTAAATGTAATCAGGCAGAGGGAAAAGAACTAGCTATAAAACAGAAAATAAAGGTACTAAACTATTATGCAGATGATAGATATGACCTACTATCAGATACAACATTCCCAGAATTCAACCAATCCTGAATTTTTCAATTCTTCTAAAACATTTCCCCTACCTTACAAGAAGTGATTTAAAAAAAATTTTTTTTTTCTTTAAAAATTGTTCAAAGCAAGGCTTGACAATCTTCTAAATTTGGTGATTAACTATTCATATCTCCACTTGGAACAACTAAGCAATGTATTAGAAGTCAACAGAGACCAGCAGTTTCAAGACAGCTCCTTATATGAATCTTGGACCTTGGGACCTAAGCCTTCCTCTATCCTGTTCTGTTCACTTACCTCAAGAGGCAGAGACAAAGAAATAGATTAATGAATTGAGTAAAAACACTATTTTTAAAAGTCCCTAACAAAGAGGCACTACATGACAACAAGCAGAAAGGCAATCACCAGCTGAATGACCTGAGAGAATAAACGAACAGCACAAACAGGGAAAACAAAGAATATTTCACAAACTAAATTCACACTTCAGTTTGACCACATTCCTTGCTATAACTCTAACCAAGAGATATGTTCCAAAGGCAATTCCTAATAATTTTTTGTTAAGTTGTAACAATTAAATTAGCAATTTAATTCTTGGTGCAATTTGAGTTTTTAAAATTCGAATTTTAAAATTCAAATTGGCTTCTTATAATTGAGTATGTTCTATTTCTCTATTTCTGCTATGGCACTGTTTAGTAATAAACCTAATTTTATTAACAGCATAAAAAAAGATAACTGGGAAAATTAATTTCCTATATGTAAGTTCTAATAATGAATTCCCAGTTCAAATATAAATAATATTTTGTTTAACCACATTTTAAAATTATCTGTACTGTCATCATACACATTAGTGTAAGTAACCAAGTATTAATGCTATAATAAGAAAAAACTGTGTTGAAAGAAGAAGGGTGGTTCTCCACCTCTCAGTATGCCAGGAACAGAAACATTTCTTCTGATGCCAACAAAGAATTCTACTACAGCCAAGTCCTTCAAAGACAGGCATCAATATCTATGTTCTGGCAAGGGAAGAAAATAACTTTAATAATGCCACGATTTAAAATCAAAACTGTTATTGCTTTTAAAATTCCACAAGTGGCTGACAATAACAGCAGAGCAACAGGATTCTGATTACATTGTAATAATGCGGGTCTCACAGCAAGTCCACAGCTATTACCCAGCGATTAGGCGTCAGCACCTGGAGAAACTCCATTTACACTGACTGCTTCAGTCTCCTCCACAAGTCATTTACAAATATATGATCCTAATTTCTATGAGAGAAAAAAGGACATGCTGGGACTAGAAGATTATCTGGACTATTTGGATCAACCTATTTGATAGTTTAATGTGTGCTTTAAACGAAAAAAAAAACTTTTTCTAAACTGCTAGGTGCATGATCATGAAGTGAAAAAACTAGTTATCACTTCAGCTTTTTAAAAATCGCTTTTCTTTCCTTTTTTCCAGACAAAACCCAAAAACCAAACATGTCGTCGAGTTGATCCTGACTCATAGCGACCCTACAGGACAGAGTAGAACTGCCCCATAGGGTTTCCAAGGAGTGGCTGGTGGATTTGAACTGCCGACCTTTAGGTTAGCAGTCATAGCTCTTAACCACTATGCCACCAGGGCTCCTTTTTCAAAACAAGGAGGCAAAAATGCCAAATATCCCTGAATAAGCACAGTACCTGATGCAGTTAATAGCTTCTTGAGGCTTGGAGAGTCTGCACAGTCTACCATTACCTCCTGAGTAGCCTTAGGGAAAGACACTGGATTTCTGTGTGCCTCAGTTTATAAGTCCAATAAAGAAAAAAGGTAATTTATTATCACTATTAATGTTACAAATATATGCAGTGAAAATGAAGAAACTACCTCTTTAAATCAGTACATGATATACAGTTAGAACTGAGGATGATAAAAAGCCTAAAGTTGATGTTAAATTACAAAAAAAAAAAAAAAAAAAAATCAAATATGGGTAATTGGTGGCTCAAAACCTGGGAAGAAACTTTCATAGATTATTTCAGGAAGCAGCAGCAGCCACTCACAACATTAGGACTCTTCAGCTAAGGTTTCCTTGTCACTGGCCTCAGGTTTATTTCATGCGGTCCCTAGTCAAGGCAAGAAGGAAGGTAAATTTCTCTTCTAAAAGAAAAATCCCCAGCCATTTCCTCTATTTGTACCTTTTCCTCATGTTGGCCACTGCAAATCCTAAATCAGTTTAACTGCTGTGAGGGCATTATGGAATAAATGCTAATGATCATCTTAATCACAAAGTTACCATTTTTCCCTGGGTATCTACCATCAGCCTTACATGATGTGAATGTTTATGGCACCAATTGTTTATACCACTGAATAAAATTTTTAAAAAATTATTGAGTTCTTTCTTTATCATAAGCACTACGGGCTAGATAGGAGCCCTGCTGGCATGGTGGTTAAGCACCTGGCTGCTAACCAAAAGGTCAGTGGTTCAAACCCACTAGTGGGAGAAAGATGTGGCAATCTGCTTCCATAAAGATGAACCAACCAAACCCATTGCTGTCGAGTCAACCGTGACTCATAGCAACCCTAAAGGACAGAGCAGGACTGCCACAGAGTGTTTCCAAGGCTGTAATCTTTATGGATGCAGATTGCCATATCTTTCTCTCATGGAGCAGCTGGTTAGTTTGAACCACCAACCTTTCGGTTAGCCGCTGAGCGCTTAACCACTGCACCAACAGGGCTCCTTTCCGTAAAGATTACTTTGGAAAGTCTACGGGGCAGTTCCACTCTGTCCTCTAGAGTTGCTATGAGTCAGAATCGACTCTACAGCATACAACCATAAAACAATGGGCTAGGTGCTTTCCATTCAAAGAAAAAACACAGATCTTGCCATTGGGGCAGTAAGAGAGGTGCTCTGGCATCCTGCATATTTCACAGTGAAATGTAATTGTAGATTATCGTTTTATGGCTCAGTGGTTAAGAGCTTGGCTGCTAACCAAAAGGCTGGCAGTTCAAATCCACCAGCCGCTCCTTGGAAACCCAATGGGGCAGTTCTACTCTGTCCTATAGGGTTTCTATGAGTTGGAATCGACTGAATGGCAATGAGTTTGTCCCAACTAGACTATAAACATCTTCAGGGCTAAGAATGTGTTACTTACTAAAGCCCCTAGATCTGTACCCCTCAGAGGTCGTATCAAAACCCTTAAATTCTAGTCTTTGCTCGATGATCTATTAGCTGGTGACCAAGGGTTCTTGAGCTCTCTGAGATTGAGCTTTTCCCTATGTGTCAACTTGGAATATAGTGGTTAAGAGATACAACTGCTAACCAAAAGGTCGGCAGTTCAAATCCACCAGGCGCTCCTTGGAAACTCAATGGGGCAGTTCTACTCTGTCCTATAGGGTCGCTATGAGTTGGAATCGACTTGATGGCAATGGGCTTGGGGTTAATCTAACCCAATGGGATTGTGATAGGGTGCAAATAAAAATTTTTCCATGGAAGTTCTTTATAAATCAAAAATATTATTAAGTAGTACTTTTATAAATGTATGCCGACTGATCAGGAATTCAAGGGAGAATAACACACTTTAGTTAGGGCTAGAGAAGTCGTTAAGACAAGCAGGACTTAGAAAAAAAGAGGAAAATATTCTAGGTCAGAGAGAGTAGAAGCGAAGAAATAAACAAGGTAGATGAGACAAGAAAGACCTAAGTCTTTCCATGCAACAGTAAAGGCTAGATTATGGTAGCCTGTTAAATATTAAGTTAAGGTGGTATCCTGAAAGTAAGAGAGAATCCTTCTTGAGTGGGAGAATAACATAGTGAGGGGGTATTTTGGATGTTTAATCTTGTGGTGGTGAGCAGGATGAACTGTCTGGAGGGAGAGAGTAAAGGAAGATAGGCGGATCAAAACTAAAGCTGTTGCAGTGTCTCAGGTGTGAGTAGTAAGGGTTTAAGCTAGAGAAATGGCAGTGGGAATTACAAAACTGAAAACAAGAAAAGAGAGAAAGGGTAAGAGACACTGCAAAGAAAAAACTAACAGACTTTGGTGACTGACCAGATACATATAAACATATACAGATTATAGGTAGAGGAGTAGAATAAGGGAATAGCAGGGAAAGAAAGCTGTCAACGATTTCTGAATGACTGGGGGTAAAAGCTTTGGTTGGGGGGTTTTTTTTTTTTTGATATGTTTTTTTTTTTTTTTGGATGGGCACTGGGGGGAGAAGAGATGAAGGAAAATGATGGGAATTTAGGTTTAGATTATGGAGTTTGATGCCAATGAGATATTCAAGTGACATAAAATTGCAAAGAGGATGGAAGTATAATTGATATTTTCAAGGGAGGGGAGAAGAGGACATAGAAGCGCCACCTGAGGGGAGTTTGGGCTTAGACGTGTAGAATTTGAAGTTACCAAAGGAAAATATTCAGCAAGGGACTGGAAGTTCAAAGACTGGAGTTCTGGGAGAGATGTAGGAAAACAATTTCCCTTAGAACGTTTTAAATATTTGAGGTCTTTACTTCTTGACAGAAAAATATACTATTATTAACTTACTTTGGAATTTTATCCCTACATGTAGAACTATATAAAAGACATAGCCATTATCAGTGATAGACCTTATAAGTAGCAACTGATAAGAGGATAAATATGATACACAGCTAGCAGGAAAGGGGCCATCACCAGTTTCCACCCAATCTAGGACTTACATTTTGCTGGGTAAACTCTCTGAACATAGCTGCCAGTCTGTCATCCTCAATATCGCAGTCAGTCTTGATAGCCACATTGAGAATGTGAATTGGTTCATCCCTGGGGACCTGTAACCCAAGAGATTATGAGGCTGGATAATACAGAGGCAGGGAAAAGTTACAGTACTTGGTAAAACACCTGAAAAATAGGTACATACCGTACAGTGTTTCGGTTTGCCCACTAGCAGCAATAAACAGATTGAAACTACTCCCAATAACCACAACAGAGGTTAAATAAAGTAACTTTTAAAAGATAAGGCAAAAAAGACATTTGCTAGAGGTGGCCCCAAATCTTGACTTGACATGAAATTGTAGATCACTGTATCCTCACTTTTTCACCAATAAAATGGTAGTAAAACCGTTTGCCACATCTCTCTTCACAGAAAGTGAAGAAAAACAAGTGAAAGTAGCTACCTGAACATATTCTCACATAGCATGTTTCCTTATAATTTATCAAACAATGGAAGTATCGAGCCACAGGGAAAATAACCTAGTAAGGAAAGAGCAACGATCTGTTTACTGAGAAATGAAATGGAAGGATTTAATAAAAGGACAAAGTTTTAAACAAAATGCCTATTTTTTCTGCAATCTAAAAGTCCACCATTTTCTGAAGACTATGACAGCATCACTATGCAAAAATACATCAGATCACTGGGTAATTCAGGAACCAAAGCTCAACTCTTAAAAAGAAATATTCAGAGACCCAGAGGCAGCTGGACTAAATATAGCTGACCCCATTCTATACTACAGAGTCTAAGATTAATACAGTTTTTTTTTTTAAGTTAGAATTTATATTCTCCCTATTTCCAAAAAATGCTTTGATGAGGCGTACAGAATTAAATGATATACAGACAGTAACAAGAAGATGAATTCTTTCCTATAATGTTCCAAAATCAGAAAGCTAGTAAGTATATAAGTCCCATATCTGAAGTAACAAACTAGTCTCCTAAAGGGTGTACTATACCTTGTCTTCATCATATAGAGATGTGTGACCTGCCTCAGGGAATGTGGGGCTTTGGGGTGGAGAGTCACAGAAGCAGCCCATCACTTCTTCAAAGAGCCTGAAAAATACCAGAGAAACACTCACCATGAAAACCCAAGTGGCAGGAAACTAACACTGCCATTTCCAGCTCAGTCTAAAGGAATAATTTATCCTGGCCTGTGCTCAAAAGCCAACTGAATAGAATCACCAGTGGCTAGAAGGGACATGCAAAATATCATCAAGTGGCAGAAATTAGGAGGATGGATTGTTTAACCTTTAATAACCCATATACAGTTTTTCTTAAAAAAAAGAAAAAAAAGAATGATTTAAAGCTTTTTTGTTTGTTTTCATATGTAAGATATGAGCACTGCTGTCATCATCGGTCTTAAAGTAACAGAACAAGCCTGGGACTGGAGCAGTGACAGACCAATGTAATTACCCCTCCCCCTAGGGTAATGCATCAGTATACATGAAGAGATAGATGCTGAATGCATTTAATCAAAAGATGTATCGTCTCTGGTGGGGCTTACTCTAGTGTTGTGTTTAATTTCTCCTGACATTTCACTCATCATAGAGCAGACAGCTTCTTCTGTTAGCTCCTAAGGAAAAGATGGTTTTTGTTTGTTTCTTTTTTTCTGACTTGGCTCACACTACAGATAGAAGCTTGTAGAGTCTGAATGAGAGGCAGAAATGGCAGGACACATACCTCTCTGAGGGCATATATAGCAAGAGCTACATATTCTTAGCTGGCTCATGGCTACTCTGGGGACCTTTATTTATTTGAGAAGGCTGAGACCTCAAAACCGAGACACCATAGTTCCCCTTGTACAGACACAGTTCCACAGTGTCTTACCTGACAAAATCTTCAAAAGTCCGAAAAGAGACCATCCCGCCCATCCGCTGACATGGTGGAGTGAATGAGTTGTCCAACAGCACATCGCTGACACTAGCTACATGAGTCATGCCATAGTGGTTGAGGTTGGAGGAGAAGGACATTCTAAATGGTAATTGAACCAAGTTTATTAGACAGGGAGGGCAGGAGCAAGGATTTTAAGAGTAACAACAGGGAAAAAGAGTTAGAAGAAAACTCTGAAGTAGGGTGAGGTTACAGAGCAGATTTGGTTTTTTACCCACTATAGATAAGGCTGTCTTGCTAGATTCATATCAACCTCTTCATCTGGACATCCCCACACAAACTATGTTTTCAACATCCCCAAGTATCTCCAAATAAAAATCCAAAGACTGCCAGGAATTTCATGGCAGTTTTAATACAATGGCATTATGACGTGTCTAATGAATGAGTAGCACATAAGGGGTTAAAAACCAACTTGCATCTTCCCCTTCCCTATAACACTCTCTTCTTTAAAAGGAAGTAAGCAAGCCAAATGAGTTCTAACTATGCAACACTCAAGGCATTTTTCTCTAGAAATTGTAATAGATTAAGTATTCACAGATATACACATAAAACAGCAACTCAAGTCATTTGGAATGGTTTAGTAAATAATTATAATACTATGTTGAAAAAAAAAAACCACTATGGTAGAGGAACAAGTCACAGTCTATAAGGGAACTTTACTGAGGTATTCATTTGTCCTTTAATGGGTTGATGGAGATAGTAATTATCAGGATTATAGCTCTTCCCCTTTTTGAGAGAGAAAATTTTCAAGCTCAAATTGCAAATTTTCCTTTTTATATTTAAAAACTTCTACAACAACTTCTACCCTTACTTAATTCCCAGCAAGAGGCAAAAGGGCAGAGCATGGGTCTCAAAGTATGTGTAAGCATGACAAGCAGTTGCTGAATGGAGATGCTTCAAGAGAACTGAACTGATTTGTTCAATCTGAAAACATAATGAATCTGTACATTCCTTGATGCACCTCAGCAGTTGGTACTAATAAATAATACTGTAAAGTGTTTCTGATTGCCTAGTCGATCAGGAGAGCCTCTTAGGAAGGACCAAGCTAAAGAATGCCTCCAGGACTTGCCTGACATGTTACCAGCATACTGATATGAAGCAAGTTCAGAGCAAGGCAATGGTAACTCAACTTTGGGAAGCTGCTCAAAAACCTCCTTGAAGTGCATCACCTGCAGGGTCGCAAGGGGAAGAGAGCCAGCGATGGTGGATTTGAGATCTGGGTACATACTGTACCCTATTGCAAATTATAATTATAAAAGGCAGTGGAATTCTTTGTAGGATGGGAGTGCTGCTCACACAGACTATAGAGACTGACACTCGGATTTTTACTCCTTCGGCAAACAAGGACTATGAAAAAGGCACTTCATCTTTTGACAGTACTGGAGAATAGAAAGCCAGAGTAGGAGAGGAAACCATTGACACCATGAATGAAACAAACAAATGAAACACACATCAAGCAAGTCTTACATATGGTGCTCACTAGAAACTGAGATTCAGAGTTGCATTAACTCAGAAATGCTATCATTCTCCTCTTTTCTAGCATCACCAAATATATTTACTAATATGGAGCAAGTTTGTGAGGCATTGTATCTTTTCCACCTGCCTGGTATCAGACAGGAAAGGCAAAAGGGTTCCAGATAACACTTAAAAGGGAACTCCTCCTGAATAAGCTAACTGGCTGTGTCTGTGGCAAACATGGGGTTAGGTATCTTCTTCACTAAAATTGAACCCCATGGGAAACGTGCTATTTGGTTTCCTTCATAATGCTCGTGGGCCTGGACAGCCAGAGGCAGGCAGGAATGGGCCAAGCCCACTCTTCAAGGGCAGATAAGAGGACCAGATAAAAGCATTCCCTTTCCTCTCCCCATCCAAACTGAATTCTAAAAGTTAAGATCAGTTTTGATTACTTAATATTTTAAAGGGAGACGGCCAAAATAAATATAAGCCTACAAAATATTTCAGTGTACAACTGATGATCTACAAAGAGCTCATCACCAACTGACTACTTACTACTTGAGCCTTTTGTGGATTCAGTTCCAATCAGAATTGTTATCCTCTCAAACTTGCATTGTGTTGCCTTGCTTGGCTCAGGAGCAGGAGAAACTCAAAATTCTAATATATCACTTGTATTATATTGGCCTAAAACCTCTTCACAGGGTTATACATATCAAAATTTAAATATACTTTTCCAATATTAATTTTATTATAGGTCTGAAACAAAACTTGAGATTTCTTGTAACACTTTAGAAAAATAGCTAACAAACTGATAAAACATGAAATCAGCTATTTCCGGATTTGCATTCCTCTAAAAGGAGAAGCAAATTAGAGAAACTAAATATTGAAAACACAATGAATAATTTTCTAGGCTAGGATTAAACTTAGGGGTTTCTCCTCCAAAAGCCCCAAACTAGAAACAGAGAACGCAAATGCAGCAAAAGATGTTTCCAGCAAAGATGAACCTCAGGCAGATCAACCCCCTAACAGCAAGATTAGAGCTTTGCCAGACTGAGGCTTTTCACGTATTGCTTTCCGAACAACTAAAGAAAAGCTGAAGACATGTTTTCCAAACAGAAAGAATAAATTTAGTGTCTTCAAAGGGGAGTTCAGGACTCCCTAGAAGCAAACATATTAGCTTATTACGGGTAGTGTTATTTCTTCCTGGTTTCACTATTATAAGTTACAAAAAAGGTACTTTTAATTGGAAAAGAAACTTAACATACGGTACCTGTTTAGCGTGGGGATGTTCCCTCTGTAATTAAACAACCAGAGTTAGTTACTGATAGGTTAGTGAAAGCCATAATAAAAGAATTGTCAGAGCAGATACAGACCAGTCCTGAGGGGCTCTGGCATTCAGTAGACATAATTAAGTGCTCATTACCTTTCAACCCACAGGGTGCCTCTAAAGAGGCATGCCTCCTGACCTACCTCACCACAGCAGCTGTGGATGGAAAGGTTTGAAATGTATTTACCATGGATTTTTTTTTAAAAAGCTCTATTATAAAATATAATGCAGAACAGTAGTAAAATACAGGCAAACGAAAATTCAAGCTATATAATATGGTATATTATCTTAAGCTTCAACACAAAATTAGTTCTTAAGAATATGCTTAGACAAGATTCTTAGAGACTCTTCTTTCTTGTTCTATTTTACCAAAGGTGTAATAAGGAGGCCCACAGAAGTTGATTCCATATTCCCCCCTACTCTAATTGTTTCTCAGGATGTGATAAACCTATAAGCTATCCTCCAAAGAAAATAATTCAGTAAATCAGGTTCCCAGCTACCTGTTCTAAGTGTTTTTTTTAAAAATGTTCTTCCTGAGCGTAGTCAATGTCACTGAACTGTGCATGTAGAAATTTTTGAAGTGGTGTATCTTTGGCTATGTGTATTTTCACCAAAACAAAAAGGTTGAGAAGTTGGAGGGTTGACATGTTGTGGGGTTGTTAACCAATGTCATAAAATAATATGTGTACTACTGTTTCATGAGAAACTATTTGTTCTGTAAGCCTTCACCTGAAGTACAATAAAAAAAAAAAAAAAAAAAGTTCTTCCTCCCATAGAATGGGGGAAAAGAGAAGGGTATTATGTACTACAGTAAATTAAAGGATCTAAAAATAATGCACGAATGTAATAACCAATTCTTTGACGAGAGTTATATAATTTGTTAAAATTAATTAACTGATACCTTCTTAATTAAATGAGTTTAGGATAAGAATGATTTTTAAAAAATGCTCTAAGTTTAAAAATTCCAGGCCTCTCATCAACAAAACCTTACCTAAATTCAGCTAGCCCTACAATTTCCTTATAAAGAATGTGCCAAAATCATGAAAGCGAGACTAGGATAAAGAGGGTAAACTGTAAGGCAAGTCTCCTGCATTCACTTTGATCTTTCTACCAATTCTTTTTTTCAACTTGACATTAGTCATTTCCTCAACGGAAAAAACAAACCAAAAAAAAACTTGATTTTCAATGTTAAAAGGGCAAATTTATACTTACCACTCACAATTTAGGGATACTGTAAGGGAGCTGATTGGTTGATACCTTAACCTTCTAACATTCTTTTATCAGCATTTAATCATTGTTGGGGTTTTCCAGCACACAGGGGACTTAGGGGGCAGAACACAGTGGGTGGTGCTGATGATATGTGGGAAGGAGGATAGAGGGAGGAAAATGATGCACTTTCCATGGCAGTGAAAGGAGCAGAATAGACTGAGCTGGCCATATAAATAAAAAGCAGTGACATATCACTGCACACAAACTGTATACCTCGTGTGATTTGTGAGCAGCAATGCTCTTTGCATCAAACCTGAATCACAGAGTGAATTCATAAGACAGCAAGAGCAACCTCCTAGTGCAAAAACCTGAGCCTCTGCTGTTTGGATTTCTTGAGCCTGTCACTCAGGAGAATGGGTTTCATTTTACAACAGATCCTTAGTTATAAGGCATGTGGCACTCATCAACACAGGTTCTATAGCAGAGGGAGGTGTAGCTAGGCAGAAAACTAACTGCAGGGGCTAATGAGAACACAGAAAGTCTTCCTCTTAAGATATACAGGATTCTAAAGAAACGGGCCACCTGCACAGTTTATTACATGAACCTTAGTTCAGAGAGAAGATCTCTACAACCAAAGCAATCTTAGGTTCCATCTATCCAGGCTTTTGGAGTTTAGAAATCAGTATAATCTGTCTCAACTGTTCACCCATTTTGTAAACTAATAAAATGGTCTCACTGCCTCTGTAGTATACTCTAATCCCTTAGGGAGTCTTCACAGGATGCGGGCCAAGTTTTCAGTAGAAAAGGGCCTAAATTGAAAAGTACAACAAGCCAGCCCTTCTTGTGAGCAATTCTCAAGCTCGCATAGGGAGCCCCCTGCTGCCTTGTTAGAGAAATTGTGCACCATCTACACAGTATGTGGTAAAAAACAAAAACTCCCAACATCTCCAGTTTTGAAAGGAATGGTCCTGAATCGATCATGTAAGAGGTAAGTTTAGAGCCAGGTTATCCTCTCTGGTAGAATAAAAACCTTTGGAGTTGTAAGGGAGATGAGCAGGGATAGAAGGATAAACTCTGTATTACCAGTTAAATACTTAGCCATGTCCATAATGATAACTTATATATTTTGTTACTTTATACAGGGGCTATCTGATCGATTTGAGATAATGACAAATATGGTATAGCACACACTACTGTGATACACAACAGATCCATAAAGCTAGATTCATGGTCTGCACAAAATAAACAACTGAGGAAGAGATTGTATATAAGTCAAGAATTCCATATATGCAGCTAAAAATAAAATAAAATCTTCCACATTCCACTGCATACTTATCGGGCAAAAATAGCTAAATTGCTCATTCTCTGATAAAGCAATCAACTGCATTTTCAAATATATAAATGAGATAAAAATTCACTTCTCAGAATTTTGCGGTTTAGGCTATTCAAAGCACTTTACTATGATAACTCTTCAGTCATAATGCTGTGAAAAATATCGGCATCACTTTCCTTCTACTATATATTAGCTCCATTTTAGAGGTGCGATAATTGAGAAACCAAAGCAGATGCTTTCCAGGAACATTGTTCAATATGGTGTCATAAACCAAAATCTAGGCCTGGCATTTTCTCAGTTCCTGAGGATACCACTCCGCATCAATATAGACTTTAAAGAAGGACAAGAGAAATCCTTTGAACTCTGAGGTTCTTGGCGTTAAGTCACCTGTGATTTTATTGATCTGCCTGCCCAGACTGGCTGGCAAGCCTGCTTCAATATGAATGCAAAGTCAAGAGTTGCTGCCTGCTAGCTGAACCGTCTTTAATTTAAGGAACACTGACTTCTTTGGCAGTCACAGGTTCTCTGAGCCTTTTACCATCCCTTCCAGCTGAATTTCATTTTGCTTGATTCTAGGGGGCCCTACATAAATCTTTTATTATATAAAAATGCTCCTGCTTCTTTTGCCTTCTAACTTGAATTAAAAAAAAAAAAAGGACCTTAAATGAAAATGATGGGGATGCATGCAAACAAGCAGTGTTTACATCAAGCTGTGACTGAGAGCCAGTATAGGGCAAATCTTTTGAAATCAGGCAGCAAAGCAGAATCAGAAGAGGTCAGCTGAATAACCTACTAGCAGTCACTAACAGCAGTACCATAGGAGAAAGAACAATTTGACTGGCTGTGACCAGTGGTGGTCTCCTTGTGTGACTATATTTCTGCAGGAGAATCCAAATCAAAAGCTGTAAAACAGATCTGAACCATGTATTTCTATTGGCATCTCTCCCACCACCCCGTTGCAGTTCAGATGCCCTGATTCCACTGCAGAGCTTTACCTTACAATAAAATGATCATTGCTTCATTCATCTGCAACTCTCTAAAGCCCCTTCTTTGCTCTGTTGGAAGATTTCACTCTTTCTGAAATAAGTACACCAACAGGGCTACAGCATATTACTGCTGCTTGCTGTATAATTAGCTACAAACCCACAGCACAAAACTACAGGGATTTACAGGTGCCCTGGATTCTGCTTTTCCTTCCCCCTGGGATCAGCTAGTGTTCCTTGACAAGAAAGGACCTTCGGCTACCCTAATGATATACTGAGAGTTTTAAACGTGACTCTCTAATCTTACAAGTCTAGAGTGCCAAAACAACACAGCAGAGACTAGAAGCTGAGCCATGGATAGAGGAAAGCACTTTGGTAAGCACTTAAACCTGCTGAGAATCTTCTCTTCTTCTGCCAGATGCTTGCATCTTATCAGCAGACTACCCTGAATGAGGGAAGCAAGCGCTGTAGGATTTTAATTATTTATAGCTCATTCTGGCCTGCTAACCAAGTGCTCCCACTCCTAAAAAACACTATAAGTTGGATGACTTTTGAGTGTCTCAGTACAGTCCAAAGAGGGGTCCAATGTCTGGGTGTCAAAGATTATCAGAATTCTCAAGAATAGCAGCAGGCTGCTGATTAGTCATATGGATGGCTTCTGATTTCTAACCTTCTTTACAAAGAAGAAGGTCCACTGACAGCTGAACACCGAAGGTGTCCAGCAGCCTAAACTCAGTCACGACCAAAACGTGCTATCAGAGAAGTACACAGCCAACCTCTTCTGGACATAAGACATGACAAAAGGAAAGTGCGTGAATTAAAACAACACGCAGGAGGCCAAATTCACAAGGAGCAAACAGCAGAGAGGGTGCACTGCAACCTAACTTCAGCAAAACACGGATTTCCATCTAAGGAACAGGTGGAAATAAACACAAACAGGTCCAAAATATACAGAAGCATACAGCAAAGTATACTTCCATCTCCTGGATCAGCTTTGATGCTTCTTACTTGACAAATTAAAAGTTAAAAAAAAAAAAAAGTTTACTGATGTGCATTACTTATGAAAATCATTTGAAGTTTTAACTTTTGTACTTCCAGACTGTCATAACATACAGAACATATGCAAAGCCACAGAGTTTATGGGATAATAAACTTTACATACATTTGTATAAATAAAGATATATTCAGAATGATGCTTCACTGTAACATGTTTTTACATCACTAGCATCAATGGTGGATAAACTGGGTTTCAGAATGTGAAAGAAGACAGACACACATACACCTCTGACTTTAAACCCTGAGCCTCACTGGAGGAAAAAAGTAAAAAAGAAACACTGAATGATACATTACGAGCTCCAGGCTTAATAAACGTGAAATATAGGCTTAACTGACTAAAGAGCTGGACTGATGGAATCTTAGACAAGAGAATTAGGTCCTAGAAGTCTGGATAAATAAAATGTTCTCCTAGTGCAGACCAGCTGCTCTGACTATCCCTGCACCAAGAAAATGACTGAAGAAACCCAGTCACCACTTCTTTAAAAACAACTGCTAACCGGCAACAAATCACCTTTAACAAAAACAAAACAAAAAACAAAAACACAGCAAAAATCCTCTCCCCTCAAAAAAATTCACACACAATAGGACATAGCTTGTGAATGCTAAGATAAACAAGGAAAAACACACATACATACAAATACACATGTGTATCACATATATACAGGTTTCCAACTATGCCTAAGTCAGGAAAATCGCTGCAGCTACTGTACAACTGAAGGGAATTTAAGAAGAAAAGGGTAAATCCAGATGAAGAGCCTCCCTGAGTGAAATTCTTATAACTAGATCCTTTGGTGAATAAGTGAAGACCTGGGGATGCCAAATAAGTTGGAACTACAATTATGAGAAAAAATTTGGAAGTCATGGGTTGAAGATCAAGAAGAAGATAACATTGATGGAAGCCTACCTAGTAAGGATAGTGATACAGGAAGTCATAGAGGGTAGGAATAAAATAAACTAATAATATGTTTCTGCTGCTGCTTTTTTTGTTTTTTAATATTGAGAGGAGTACTAGAAAATTATACCAAAAAAGACTATTATACTGAAAAAAATAACTAAATGTCAAGCAATATAAAGTCCTTATAATAAACTATGACAAAAATAAAAAGGGTACCAAACATGCGGGCCCCACACTAACTGCCCAAACATGCTAAAAAGGACTGCCTTCTCCCTTCGAGGATGCCACTCTCATTTGCAATGGCAATTGCTTGTGTTTTGCCTCCTCTAAAAATCAGAACAGGTCCTAATGGGACAGAGGTCTTCAATTCAAACAGTATCTAAGGCATCTTCCTGAAAATAAACTCTGTTGCTGCTTCATCCCAACCCAGGGGTGCTAAATCTCTAGTCAAAAACAAACTGCAGGAATAGAATTCCACTAGGTGACCCTGTAAACAACAAGACACTGTAGACTTGCTTTGATATTACAGCTTACAAGATACTGAATTCTAAGGACTTGCTGGACAAACTTAGTCTATGTCAAATGAATGCCTGGCTAGGAAAGTGATGACCAAAGGCCAGGAAAGAAAACGTGAAAAATTTGGTTAAACAAAGTAGCTGTTTTATCCTCTAAGAATTTTTGGTCTTTTACCCCTAATTGGGAAACAAATTTTTAGAAAATTCTGTTTTGTATTGATAGATAAAATATGTATGATAAGGCATTCATATGCTTGTTCTTTATAACTTTTTTTCGAAGCATGCATAAAACATTGTAATGTACTATCTATAGGATCAGGTTTCGAAAATTCCTGTAACTACTGAGAACAAACAGTATAAGATTAAGAGTTTTTCTCCCTCTAAGAGGCACTACTATTAACATAAAGCAAAGAGGACTCAGTGTTTTCTTTACTTGTAGCTGTCTTAGTTAATTTTTTATCTAGAATTGCACTGCTCAGTATGGTAGCCACTAGCCACATGTGGCTACTCAGTATTTGAAATGTGGCTAGCCCAAATTGAGATATGCTATAAGTGAAAAACACACTCCGAATTTCAATGACTTAGTACAGAAAAAGAATAGAATATATCTTATTAATAATTTTTTATATTGATAATAAGTTGAAATGATATTATGGATATAATTTCACCTATTTCTTTATACTGTTTTAAATGTGATCAACAGAAAATTTAAATTATATATGTGGCTTGCATTATATTTCTACTGGACAAAGCTGGTCTAGAGGTAGTGATTCTCAATTGTAAACGTTCATCAGAATTATCAGAGGAGCTTTTTAAAATAGTATTCATCTGGAATCTAACTGACAATCTTGGGAGTCAGGGCCCCAGTGTGTGTATTTTCAAAATACTCCCCAGATAATCCTAAGGCACATCACTAGTTAAGAATCATTAATCTAGAGGTTAGTGGACATAATAATGTCCTTGAGCCTTAAAGGACTAGGCGTGGAACAGACAGTGGTAGATGGTCTCCAGTAACTTATTTCTGAAGAATAAGAAGCAACATGCATATTGCCTGCTTGTTTAAAACAATAAGAATAGAAAGAAATAAAAGTACTAGAGTTAGAAGAAGAGTTGGATCTCAGCTCAAAAACAGTGAAAGCTAGCGAAAAGAATCTAAGTTTCCTTTTTAGGGTGAGCAGGCCATACTCCAACTGTAACAAAAACATTTGTAAGAAAATATAGAGTCTTACAAAATTAAATTCAAGTAGAAAATTTACAATAACTGTCTGAATAAGCTATATTCTAAAACTGAATATATCATTTTGTGGTTGAATCTGATTATACATTTTATATTCCTAAACTAACAAAGGGACTTTGGATCTAAAAAAAAGGATTAAAAGAATTTTAATATCTTACTGGTTTTCAGAAAGATTATTTTATCTTTCCTCCTCTATTTTGTCCTTATCTTTACCTTCACAAATGTATCAATAATAATGATAATGACAATACTAATAAATCCAGCAGCTTTAAAATCATATACACAACCAAGGAAGACTCTCATATAGGGAGACTACTGGATTACAGTTCTGTTCAAGTCTGGTCTTTATCCACAGGGGTGTATATGCTCAGATTTTGAGAGGGACTAGTTTACAAGTTGTGAAACCCCATCAGGAATAAAAGAGATTTGAACCCTTGATGTGGAAAGGTGAAAAAGATTTCTTAATAAAGCAGTTAATAAGAATTTCTCTCATTTTTCAGTTACTGTTTCACCAAACTGGACACATATCCTCAAATAAAAAAGTAGGACAGGGAGAGCAATTCAGAAAGACAAGAAGAGATATGAGGAGGGAAGGAAATCAGAAGCAGCCCTGCAGCCTGACTACAAATCACTGTCCAAAGGGAAGAGGTAGTAGAAAGCAGGAAGAAAAGAATGCCCTGAGAATTACAAAGAGCATTAAGTATAGCATGTAGTTCTCTACAATTATTCAAGGAATACAGGAAAAGAAAGAAGACCGAGTGCTGAGCCCATGTGTGCCATGAGTACTTCACCACTTGCTGAAGGACAACTATTCGTTTCTAGAAAATGAGATTCTGAAATCCATGGAGGCAAAAATGTACCAAGAGACGCTTGCTAAATCAAGGATATATGCTTTACTCTGCCAGCCATAAGGTATTTTCAAGGTACAGAAGTGAAAGGATCTTCTGAGACAAAGAAGAGAAGTACTTTTCTGAAGATGCTGCTGCTCTTCTGCTGACCTCTGCTGGATCAACAGTGGCATCCAGTGGCCAGAAGTCTCATCACAGACTTCTTTGTCTCTAGGAAGGGTTTCTGTTGCTTTGGGTGAAGTGGCAATTCAGAACAAAACCATTTCTGATGTCTATAACTAAGGATCCCCAAAGACACGGTACTTTGTAATACAAAGTGAAGGACCAAAGGCCATAAAGAATAAATGGAGGAGGGCAGGTTAAGACTGGCTGTGGTATTTATATTTCCTGTGGCATTACTACAAAGAATGAAAATACAGGAGAAGGTGAACATATGGGTGGGTGGAATTCGTAGATTTTCACTGCCTCAGTATACTTTAAAAGAAGGAGGGTACTAGATAAATGAAGTATTTTCCTTTTAAAGACAAAGCAATAATGAAACAAATTTTCAAATGTGTATTTTAATTTTTAAAGGGCTTGGGAATGGAAAAATGGAATTGGCATGGTCTAATTAAGTAATTTATTTAAATTTAAGAAGTTTGGTTCTGAAACGTAACCTGCAAAAACAGATCGAATTTCAACTGCTAAATTAAAGCGTCTGTTTTTAGACAGATAATAAAACTGGCTTAGGTATACCCTCAGCCCCCAGCAAACATACAGAAAAGCAAAGCATTCCACCCAAAGTATTTTTTATGTTCCAACTGCTGACTTTAAACTGTTAAAAAATTGATTTTCTGACAATGTTCCTGCAAGTAAAACACTAGTAAATTCTTTCTAACTTAAAAGAAAAAAACAAAAAACAATGTTGCCTCAATGACATAATACAAGCAAGAACGAATGGAGTAATGTTAACTTTTATTTGAATTAGGCCATACTTTCCCTCTCTTAAATCAAAGATCAGAAGAAGTAGTAGGCACCAAAAGGCTCTTCCCCCATGGGTCAAATTTGTTCATTTTCTGCTCCACGTCTCTAGCTAACCAAACATGGAGTTGTCATACACATTACTTCCTTTAACCCTCCTGACATAGCTCTGGCTTGCTCAGGTACACATGCCAGCTCAAACTTACCTATTTGGATGAGATGTGGGCAGCATGAACTGAAATTCCACCACGCAGGTGTTGTCCTTGAGCTGGCGGTGTTGTACGCTGTTAAGTTCATAGGCAATATAAGCCCTTCGAACATACACCTGGTTAAAAAGTAATCCTCAATAAATACACTTCGAAAACAGAAACTAAGATATGGCTAGTTCAGACAGTTTTGAAAAGAGATATCTGATGCAGACGAAGGTGGTCTGTGGTGAGAGGAGTCTCAAGGCTCTATACGTAGCTTGGTTTAACTAATAAAGCTGGAGTCTTAATACTATAAGGTCATTGGGTGGCACAAATGGTTTGTGCTTGACTACTAACTGAAAGGTTGGTAGTTCAAACCCATTCAGTGGTGCAGCAGTAGAAAGGCCTGGAGATCTGCTTCCATAGAGATTACAGCCACAAAAACCCTATGGAGTAGTTCTACTCTGTAACATACGAAGTTGCCATGCGTTGGAATCAACTCGAGGGCAACAGGTTTGGTTTTGGCCTTAATACTCTATAACTATGACCAAATGGAAACAAAACCAGCCTGCCTCTGTTAGACACCGCTAGGCATACCGTAAACCTTCTTTCACGCTAGCCTAAACTCAGGTGAAGGTTTGATCTTGAGCAAAAGCGAGCTTATAAAAGAGCCACAGCTACTAACTCATTGATCATGATCATTTCCACAGAAGATAAAAGCAAGCAGTGAGAAGCGTTAGAGGTACTGATTCTTGGCAATTTATTGAGGGAAGATAGAAGACAGAAACAATTGCTGTACAGTTCAACTCTTTACTATCTCGCATCTTTGTTTTGTTTCTCACAATGCCCCAAATCAATTTTGGATCTTTTATATCCCCAATCCCTAGGCAAAAGCAGTGAGGCATAATTTGATATACAATATCTCAAATGCACTAATTTGACTCAAATGCTGAAAAAACAGCAACAGGCAAAAACCATCAGTCCAGCCTCACCCATTTCACAATTTGCCACGTACATATTTATCCTTCAGTGACTGACTGACTATTTCATTCTGCATGTTTTCAAGGTTCGTCCATGTTGTAGCACATATCAGGACTTCATTTCTCTTTATGGCTGAGTAATAGTCCATCATATGTAAGTACTACATTTTGTTTATCCATTCATTTTTTGATGGACATGTAGGCTATTTCCACCTTTTGGCTATTGTGGATAGTACTGCGAAGAACACTGGTGAACAAGTATCTTTTCGCATTCCAGCTTTTAATTCTTTTGGGTATATACCTAGGGGTGGAATTCCTGGGTCATATGGTAGTTCTATGTTTAACCTTTTGAGGAAGCACCAAACTGTTTTCCACAGTGGCTGTACCATTTTACAGCCCCACCAGCAATGGATGAGGGCTCCAATGTCTCCACATCTTCACCAACACCTGTTGTTTATACTTGGCAATTATACAGCAGTGTTTGGGCCTGCAGTTTTTGTGCCTGCTGAGGTAGTGTACTGATGAGTAAAAAGTATTTGGGGTCAGACTGACCTGAGCTCAAATGCAAACTCCTCTACTTATTATCTATGTGATTTTGGACACATCACTCAATCTCTCAGAGTCTCACCTTCTTCTTACCTCATAAGGTTAAGTATAGGATAAAGTGAGAAAAATAAAGCACCTAAAACACTGTCTATTAAATGTTATTACTTTCTTTCCTATGAGGAAATATTTCTTAAGAGCTGCTTGACAATTCAAAATATTAACTAAAATTTTAATTTGACCAAAAACACAAAATGTGAGGTTACACATGTTCTGATTAGCCATGTTTTTTCATTCATTGTGTTATAGGGAATCCTAATTCATTACGAAGTGGGAAAATTCAAACACCTGGAAAACAGAGACTATTGAAAAATGCTGGCAGCTATTTTCCTGTGACTGGAGCCAGAAGCCAGCCATTAGTTCAGATGAAACGCTTGAGTAAGGTTAAGACCATACTTCAGCATTCATTCTTTCAGAGGAAAAGAAGACTCTATACTTAAAAATCAGCATGATTGATGTAATTAATCTCAACTGTATATGTGAAAAATGTTGAACGGGCAAATCACGTGTTACATATATTTTTACAACAATAAAAAAATTTAATTTAATTTAAAAAGCCTATGATCAAAGAAAAAGAATTGATATGATAGCCAAATGGACAGAGGAAATCAGCTAGAAACAAAGAAAATGGCAATGTCATATTACCATAAAAACTTACCTCCAGAGCTGCCATCCTCACTACCTGGTTGCTGTGATAAAAGAAGTTGGGTAGGACATCAAAAATAGATGTTTCAGACAAGATGAGTTTCTGAAAAGTATAAAGACAGACTTGAGTCATTACATTCCTAGAGAGAACAATTTCAATAGATATTATCTGGCATTCGAAGCAGCTAGTGAAACCAAGAATTTTTTTCTATGAATACCATATATGAGCTTAATCTCACTGTGCCTCAATTTCCTCAACTACAAAATGGGGAAAATAATAGCTCCTGTCCTCATAGAGCTGTTGTGAGAATTATATGAGTTAATGTATGTAAAATCCTTAAAATAATGCATTAACAATGCATTAACTGCATGCTATTTTAATTGTTTATGACTATTATTATCCTTTCTGACATATATCTGTACTGCACTTCCTAAATTAATGTCTCATAACTCCATTACGGTGAACTCTGTGGTTCCTAGATTTCAACTGTGAATCAAATAGGTAAAAATATCCCTTCTACAGCACTCACTACAGGGGAAGTCAGCACAACCGGACTAAACCAAAGCTAAGAATTTTCCTGAATACAATCAAACATTTTAAGGGACAGAGTAGCAGGGGTAGGGGTCTGGGGACCATGCTTTCAGGGGACATCTAGGTCAACTGACACAACAAAGCTTTTTAGGAAAATGTTCTGCATCCTACTTTGGTGAGTGGCGTCTGGGGTCTTAAAAGCTTGCAAGCGGCCATCTAAGATGCACCATTGGTCCCAACCACCTGGAGTACAGGAGAATGAAGAACACCAAAGACACAAAGAAAGCAATAGCCCAAGAGACAGAAAGGGCCACATAAACCAGAGACTTCATCAGCCTGAGACCAGAAGAACTAGATGGTGCCCGGCTACCATCAATGACCGCCCTGACAGAAAACACAACAGAGAGTCCTGGATGGAGCAGGAGAAAGGTGGGGTGCAGAACTCAAATTCTAGTAAGACCAGACTAAATGGTCTGAGACTGCAGGTATCCCAGAAAGCATGGCCCCTGGATTCTCTATCAGCCCAGAACTAAAACAATTTCCGAGGCCAACTCTTCAGACACGGATTAGACTGGACTGTGGGACATAAAGTGATACTCGTGAGCAGTGTGCCTCTTAGCTCAAGTAGATACAAGAGACTGAACAGGCAGCTTCTGTCCGGAGGTGAGATGAGAAGGCAGAGAGGGTTAGGAGGTGGTTGAATTGACATGGGGAATCAGGGGTGGAAAGGAGGAATGTGCTGTCACAGCATGGGGACAGCAATTAGGGTAACATTAACAATGTATGTATAAATGCTTGTATGGAGGAAAAAAAATCCCTTCTTCTCCTTCTAGTTTCCCTAGAAAGAAATCTTAGGGAAAAATCTGAAGAGCCCCTTTTGCCAGATATAATAATAGTGTGGTTCCAGGAAGAAAAACAGAAAGTCACCCCTAAGAAAATGATGTTGTTTAAACAGACAGTCGCTGACGCAACAGGAGAAAAAAGTGGGATGCAGAACTCAAATTCTAGTAAAAAGACCAGACTCAGTGGTCTGACTGAGACTGGAGGGACCCCAGAAGACATGGCCCCTGGACTCTCTGTTAACCCAGAACTAAAACCATTCTCGAAGTCAACTCTTCAGACAAAGATTACACTGGACTATGGCACATAAAATGATACTCGTGAAGACAATGCTTCTTAGCTCAAGTAGATACATGAGACTAAATGAGCAGCTTCTGTCCAGAGGCGAGATGAGAAGGCAGAAAGGGTCAGGAGCTGGTTGAATGGACATGGGAAATCCAGAGTGGAAAGGTGGAGTGTGCTGTCACAGTATAAGGAGAGCAACTAGGGTCACATAACAACGTGTGTATACATTTTTATATGAGAAACTAACTGTAAACTTTCACTTAAAGCACAATTAAAAAAAAAGAAAATGATGTTGTTTAAAAAATAATAGTCAAGGTCTTTCCAATTTGTAATAAAATTAGCCAATACTCTATTATAAAATTGGCTGTTCATAAAACTTAATAGTAAACATTAAAATAAAATTAAAATAAATGATATTTAAATAGCTTTGCCCCCAGAAGGATAACAACTATCTATGTATACATCTGATTCAAACAGCAGAAATCAACCAGGGCTGCCACTGAATTCTGACCTAGAATACTTTCTAGGAAAAGCACAAGAGGCAAAGACTTCAGTAGGCAGGCCTTCTGTCAAGGCAGACCTATTCGGTCTTTATTTAATTTTATTGTGCTTTAGGTGAAAGTTTACAGCTCAAGTCAGTTTCTCATTCAAAGATTTATACAGATATTGTTTTGTGACATTGGTTGCAATCCCCGTAATGTGACAGCACTCTCCACTTTCCGTTCGGGTTCCCTGTATCTGTCTGTCCAGTTTTCCTGTCCCTTCCTGCCTCCTCAACTTGCTTTTGGGCAGGAGTTGCCTGTTTGGTCTCGTATATCTGATTGAACTAAGAAGTACACTCCTCACATGTGTTATTGTTTGTTTTATAGGCTTGTCTAATCTTCATCTGAAAAGTGGGCTTCGGGAGTAGCTTCAGTTCTGAGTCAGCAGGCTGTCTGGGGGCCACAGTCTCGGGGGTTCTTTCAGTCTCTGTCAGACTAGTAAGTCTGGACTCTTTTTCTGAGTTTGAGTTTTGTTCTACATTTTTCTCCCGCTCCGTCCAAAACTCTCTATTGTGATCCCTGTCAGAGTGGTCGGTGGTGGAACCCAAGCAGCATCTATTCTTCTGGGCTCAGGCTGGTAGAGGCTGTGGTTTATGTGATCCTTTAGTCCTTTGGGCTAATATTTTCCTTGTGTCTTTGGTTTTCTTCATTCTCCTTTGCTCCAGATGGATTGGGACCAATAGATGGCTGCTCGTAAGCTTTTAAGACCCCAGACACTATCAACCAGAGCAGGATGTAGAACATTTTCTTTATGAATTATATTATGCCAATTGACCTAGATGTGCCCTGCTATTTGGTTTTTAAGCTAAACCACAATTCTAACAGCATTTTCATGGAAAAAATATTCATAAATATAAATTTTTTTTAAAAATCAAGGTATGAAACTTTATTATACTGAAAATCAAAATTGATTGATTGATTAAACTATGCTTGGGCATAAAAGGGACAAGAGTGTAGAGTGGTAGAAAAGGGTTATAAATATACCTGCAGGTTCTCAATGCAAAACTGATGTCCGTACATGTCAATAGCTGATAGGAAAATAGACTCTACTTGGTTATGGCGAAGCTCATATGATGGCAAATGAGAGGCAATAAGAACCTGGAGTGAGAGCAAAATAAGAGGCGTAAGTTCCTGAGGGAGTGATTATTCTAGGCTCCTATTAGGCAGCGCTGATATAAAAGCAATAAATATAAATCTTAAGTGCAAGCATCAAAGATAAAACAGAGACCAAGTAAAACAACTTCTAGGTCCTGTAACATAAAGCCAATGCCACCAAATACAGAATCTCAGTTGACTCTCACCATGATTTGCATTGTGGGCGATTTCCCATGGGGGTAGGGGGAAGGGAGAGAAAACAGCTTCAGTCAAGTTCCAACAGTACATGTGATTTACCATTGCAAAGCTGCTAGTCCTGGGGACTGCATGACTAGCTGTTAACTGGGAATCAGATCTGGCAGGGAGCAGCTGTGGGGAAGGTGGCTGCAGCAGATCTAGCTAGCTTTCTGCAACTTAGAACTAGAAAGAAAGACTAGGAAAAGCTGCTCTGACAATCCCAGGTACTCAGCACCCAAGAAGATGTCAGGAAGTAACACCAATACATATGAGGGGCAGAGAGAGTGAAAGCAGTGTCATAAACAAACAGGGACACGGTAGGACTTGAATCCCTCAGCAGGTCACTGAGAGGTTCAGTAACTCTGAGTAGTTCACTGACATGGATACAATTGTAGAGAAAGTAGAAGGTCACTGAACAGCTTCAAATGCTGCTTCCTTGTAGATGCCCATGCACTGAGACACAAAGGAAGCGCCAGCTCATGGCTTCCCTGCTGAAACCTTTTGGAATGGAAATGAAGACTGCAGGGTGAAACCAACTGGACTTCTCTGGGGTTGTTCTGATTGCTAGAGACTAAGATTCATTTCATTATCTTTGTTTTCCACACTTGATTTTTTTCTTATACACTTAAAAGTTTTCATCTGCCTCCAAGCTCCCTTTGGGAAGTCAGAAATACAGTCTATTTCCTTCCCTCAGTTGCCTTTCCTCCACCTAACCCTGGTTTACTATCATAGGATTACAACGGAGGGTAGGGAATGACACCAGGATTTTTTAATGGGGAAAGGGCTCCATTTAGTAAGATTCATGCTAATCTTTTCCCTTCTCTTTAAAAAACATATACCACATGAAAAAAATTTGTTCTGAGGGCAATGCAATATACATAGAAAATTGCATGGTCTTCCTAAGGTGACTGAGTTAAAAAAAAAAAAAAAACTCACTGTGTCTAGGACAGCCCAACCTATGAAAACCATTCCTCCTTCACCAGAGCCAACAAATGCCCTTACCTGGCGTGCTCGAAGTGCCACTTTAGCGTTGGTGGTCTTACTGAGTTGGGTTAGTTCTGTGAGGATATTCAGTAGCTCATCAGTGAGAGTAGGGTCTCGGCCACACAACTGATCCTGATTGTTAAAGAACATACACATACACATTAAAAAGAATTGAGGTGAACAGGACTTTGAAATGGGGAAAGAGAATAAAATCAAAGTAGACATAGCTGGATTAACAAGAAAAGGCAGAATTCTATCTTTATCCTAAACAAGTGGTTAAGGAGATCCCATAGAAGGGGGCTGTTAAGAAGCCCAAATCCCTCAGCCATTCAGATTTAAAATTCCTAATGTATTTCTTTATAAATCAACACTACTCTTTTTAACATGCAGAAGAAATCATCAGAGACCATTAAAAGGGGCCAAAGGGATTCTGAGTAAGAAACAGCAGATGATGTCTCAAAGTTTTAAGAGGCTTTAAATAATATAGGGACTAAACCGGACTTCTGGCTCCCTCTCTCACTTTCGGGAAGAAGGCAATATCAAAAAAAAGGAACCACTCTTGGTGGTTTTCATTCCACAAACCAAATGTTCAGTATCCCAAGAGGGTGCAAAACAAAAACACAAGAGCAAATTATTCACTTATAAACGCACACTAAATAAAAACACCATTTCATATTCCGGCAATTCTCTATCCAGCATTTATCCTCTTGCTATACCAAGAATCACTTCACCATATCTAAATACGGTCAATCCTAGCTGGATTAGCGGGGGGAAACAAGCTCATATTACAGAACCCATGCTTTATTCAGTATTGGGTCCCTCCTCTTGTAAAAATTTAAAGATGTCTTTATAAAACTCCTATCTTATTTTGACAGAAAGACTTCTTCTGGAGTCCAGTGGCGTATCAGTTTACTCCCTAAAATTTATATATTATTCATGCAATTTTCATCTAAACTGATAAAACCGCAGATTTGGTTTTTATAAATGCTTTGTCCTTTTTGAATTTTACAGAGCTATTTGTAGCAGTAGTTCTTAAGACCACATTATATAAAATATACATATTTAGGTATAGTGCCCTCTACCTGGGAAATAATCACTTTTATATTTTAGTAAATCTTTACTCTCCCATTACTATGAATGAGACATGAAGACAACAAAATCCCAAAGGGCCTTCTTGTTGCTGATTTTTAATCTTCTCCCTACCTTTGATTATCAGCCCTTTTCTTGAAGAATCTCCATTTCAGGGATACTTCTCAGAGTCCTTTGTCACAGCACTACAAATAAATGCTTGGGACTTTTGGCCTTTGGAGCAGACATGCATTTACCAAAACACTTTTTCCAAAACCCCTACCATTTCCACATCACAAAGTAAATACTTTTGGAATACTCAACACCATTATGCTATTAAGATGACTTCTCAAACACTGTCAAGCAGCAAATACTTTCTGATTCCCAATCCACCAAGCAGTGGTCTGTCTGTTCCAAGTGTCCAGAGTGATAAAATACATTACGGGGTATATAGTTAAGGAAGGAAAAATATTGTTTTCACCCATTTAAGACAGGGACTTCACTCATCTGAGTGGGAAGAAGAAATGCTGCTGTTAAAGTGAGATCCAGGGTTCTGCTGAACATCTAGTCATAGCTAAAGGACTGGATCCACTGGTCCTAAGACATAAAAGCAAAGGAGAGGGAGAAATGCAACTAAGCCTCATTTTTTTGCTGAGAACTAATGAACAAAATAGAATTTAAAGGGAATATATAAAATCACCAAACACAAGACCATAAAAAGACAGAAGGAAAGTATGGATAAATTACAGTGCGCAAAGAAGTAAAAGTAAGTTTTCCCTACCTAAACCCCTCTGTACTTAATGTTTCTAATGGAATAAACAAACAAAAAACAGTTGCTGTTGAGTAGATTCTGACTTATGGCAACAACCCCATGTCTGTCAGAGTAGAATTGAGCTCCACAGGGTTTTCAATGGCTGATTTTTAGGAAGTAGATTGATCGCCAGGCCTTTCTTCCAAGGCACCTTTGGGTGGACTCAAACCTCCAACCTTTTGGTTAGCGGCTGAGCACGTTAACCACTTGCACCACCCAGGGATTCCATAATGTTCCTAACAGAAAAACGTACTCCTTTCTGAGGTACTCATTTCAATCATCAGAATGATTCACTGAAAGATGTAAAAACATAACAACGGTCCGGGGTAATACCACAACACAGCTACTCTGCAAACAGCCAGAGTAAAGTCTCAACATTAACAACAGAAGTCAATGTGTCAAAATAAGAATACTAGTCATCTTCTCAATTTATATCAGATTTGATATGGAATGTTTCTCCTTTAAAGCAAATCTAGGTTTACCTTTTGAAATTAAACTAAAACAAAGAAAAATGGAGTTACCCTCTTGCCTAACTATAGATCATGCTTTAACTTAAAAAAAAGAAAAGCAAAATGCTCAAAACAACTCTTTCATTTCATCCTTCCACTATGAGAGAAAGGGAGTGAGAAAGGAGGTAGGCAAGAAACCATATCTGTAAGAAAAGTGAAGCATGGATATTATCACCAGCTGACAATCTTCTGGGCTCCTTGTGACAAAGTACAGAAACCAGACCTTTCTGGGATGGGAAGTATCAAACACAGTATGAAAAAATCGCTTCTACCATTAGTTTATCCTGACTTAGAAATTTTCCACTCAAATACTATTTTCCCCACTGTCATCAATAGTACTCAGAAAAAGACTAGCAATAGAAAATTATGTGTAGAGTAACTTTCTCAACCCTCTCTTGTCCTTGACCTAAACATAGTGTTTAGGTCCTGAAAGAAACCACTAGGGATAAAGGACCATCCTGCTCTTCAGAACCACCCATCCTAAGATGCAAACATCCAACAGAAAGCTTATGGTCCTTCATTCTAGAAGCAGGCTTACTTTGGGTAACTTGACAGCCCATCTAATCTTGGTGAACATTTTGTGACAATGCCATTTGACGATGGCTATGTCAGTCCTAGTGGTGCCGTGGTTAAGTGGTTTAAGAACTTGACCGCTAACCAAAAGATCAGCAGTTTGAACCCACCAGCTGCTCCTTGGAAACCCTATGGAGCAGTTCTAATCTGTCCTATAGGGTTGCTATGAGTTGGAATCAACTCAACGGCAGTGATTTTGGTTTTTGTTTTTTTTTTTTAATGTCAGCAGATGTGTTTCCTCAACATAAAGAGGTTCATTTAAAGAGACTACCTGCTGATTTAGGGATTATAGGTCACTTGCATAAATATGTAGGCCCAAGTGAACATTATTACCCAGCAATGATTAAGATTGGTACAACACAGTTATTTCTTGCTTTTATTCTTGACCTGGATGGTGGCTAACTACTGGGGACACCTTAAATCTGCAGAAATGTACTAAACATGCTTATGTGCCAGCACCACAGCCAATGTTAAGCAAATGACAACCAGGAAAGTCCAATACAGTTCAACCTGCTCTTAGCGCCCTAGGCATGAAATGTCCCTGAGGAAGGCAATTGTGAATGAAAAGAATGTGACCTAACATGTAACGCCTTCAAGACATTAACTTGTTCAGCTGGGTGAGGCACTAATCCCAGTGTCAGTAATGAACTGGTAGCTTCTTCCAGCCATCACAGCTGGACTTCTGGACATTCCAAGAATGTCATGGAATAGGTCTAATAAAATATTGTTAATATCACCCTTACTCAGCAAACTTGGGATCACTGTGAAAGACTTTTCTTCTTTACTTACATATTGGACAAGATTATTTGCACGTTGAGAAGGAAGAATATGCACTGACCAACTTTTGAAATGCTTCCTGTCTAAACCAAATCGAAGGCTGATATGCATAGCCTTATTCAAAAGGAAGCATGTTCATGTGGACCATACCAGAAATAAAATATAAGCAGTGAAACAGTATACTAAGAATCTAAGTGGCTATAGGATATATACTTTTTTATCTAGGCACTATGCAGATGTTGATACTTTTCATTTGTACTAATTGCTTAGAAGCCTTTGGGTGGTGCAAAAGGTTAAGCGTGCAACTATCAGCAAAAAGGCTTGCAGTTTGAACCCAACCAGAGGAGCTTCGGAACACAGGCCTGGTGATCTGCTTCCAAAAGGTCAAATCCCTGAAAACCTTATGGAGCAGTTCTACTCTGCACAGCTCGGGTGCCAGAGTCAGAATCAACTCGCTGGCAATTAACAACAACAACAAATAGCTTAATTTGGCTAAGCAGTCCCTGAAATATCTCTAAATAGACACAAATAAATTATTTTGAGCTCTAAGTTTTTGCCTATGAAGTTAAATTTAAGAAATAAGAACTTTTAAAAAATAAATTTACTATTGGCCTTCCAGACTTTGTTTTCACTTGTAGCACAATGTTTCCTACTTGGAAGAAGCATGATGAGACGTAAGCATTCTACTTGATGTTTTGCTTTCCAGCTAGGGTGAAAGATGAGAAGAAACCAGCGCAAACGTCCTTGAGGCAAGTTACCAGTAGGCAAGTTATGGTAACACTAGGAGGGGATGAAGGTACCTCTTCAACCTGAAGCAGCCCAACATCCCCAACATTGATTCTCAAGACTGATTTTATTTTATCCTTCTTCTAGGTTCAAAAGTACACCATCAACATTCCTACTTCTAGAAAGCAGAGACTGGAATGCAGGGCATGTAATCACCAATCAGGAAGCCAAGGTAAGCAAAGAAAGAGGAACTAGCAAAGAACTTAAGCTGGGGGAATCACAATGGCACCAGGTCTAGGTGACCATCTGCAAAAGACAGTGAGACCTACAGAAACAGTAACTCAAACAACTAAAATGGCTTTTATCCAGCTACTACCAGCATTAATGCAGGTGTGCGTGTGTTGGGGGTGGGTGGGGATCTGACTATTGTCAAAGAAGAAAGGAGATGTCTGGTGTTCAGTAATGTCAAATTAGAAAAGAGCACCTTCTGAGCTTTTGACCCTGCTCCGTAAGTCACTGCTAGCGGATCCTGTGCTCAATCCAGTCAATTAACTTCTTGATTTCTAAATCTCTGAGATGAGTGTGAAAATAACCAATAATTCAAAATAAATTAACGATGTCAAAGCCTACAGATGCTACTTAAGTTTACTGAGTTTTGTTTTGTTTTTAAAAGAAAAATAAACAAAAGGACAAATCTGTCTTCCTGGTTCACGTCTTCAGTCCTCCTCTCCTCCTTGTCCTGTTCATCCAAACCCAAACACTAACAATGAGCTCTTTTCTCCAAAGAGCTCAGCTTGCTGGAAAGAAAGTTTGGGTCCCATCCATGCAGGTAAGAAATAATCAGGATGACAAGATGGGGGGAAAAAAAGAACAGAAACAAGTCAGAGTCCCATTGGCTTCTGCCTCTCCTGACTGGCAAGAGCAGAAAGCAAAGCCTCAAACCAGTTCTCTGACAGGGCCCAACGCCTCTGCAGCACCCCCCGTGTAATTACACACTTGAGTGACTGGACTCTGAAGAAAATTGAAGGCCTGAGCTCCGAACAGCTGCCATTTTCTCTCTCCATCACACCAGCGTGATTACTTGAGAAATGAACAGCCCCGGCTCAAAGCTACTCCAGAATTCTCAGAGGAAATATGGCTCCGTGTTCCAATAATGAGATTCTTAAGGCAAGCGTTACTTACAATCACTCCGCAAAAGGAGCGAGCCGAGCCCCTATATCTTACAAATTAGAATTTAAGAAACCCAGCGACAGTCTTGGACGATCATTACTCTTCTGCTGCTCCAAGGATTCTGGGCTTTGGTCTATTTTTAGTGCAGAAAACTGTTAAGTTCTTAAAAAGGTAATCATAATAAAATGAAAAATCCACCATAATTAGCTTCCAATAAAGGCAAATTCTGCCCCATTTTAGGCCCAAACTGACAGATTCCTCTACCCCTTCATCATTACCCATTTCTGCCAGAAAGTCATGGCTTTATTCAAATAAGAATTAACAATCCTACAATAAATTTAAAAAAAAAAACTAAATATTCAGAGACTTCTTTTCCCTCTGATTGAGGGGGAAAAAATTCTTCCCTGAAATCTGCCACTTGAGAAAGTTGAAATATTACACAGTGCTGATATATATATACATTTTTTCTTTCAAATGCATTTCTTGTCTCCTCCACTACCTAGTCATTCTAGGCTAGAAAAGGTAATGAACTCTCCTGGTAATTAAATATTTAAAAAGTAGCTATTCTAAAAAAATGTTATCTACAGTTAAACAGCTAGGCCAGGAACTAAATGAGTGGCATTGTTGTTAACCAGAGACATAGTTTAGACTCAGGCTATCGAAGAAAAATCCTCTCTTAAAACGTGAGTTAGGTAGTTTCCCTTGATTCTGAAATATGAAATAAAAAATGGCAGCAAAGATTTATCTTTTTTTCCTCCAAGAAGAAATGGTAAAATTAAGGTACCAAGAATGCCAATGCCACAAAGGGACAAAAAAGGAAACTCTCTAAAAATGAAAAGTACTATAGTCCCCAAAAAAGAGAAACATGCAGTAGCAAAGCAACTGCTCAGGACCATGGGGTAGAGGACTCTAAGAATAATCCTATTGTTCACTAGAGTTCTAGAATTAACTCAGTCAGAAGGATCTAAAAGTGAAGGACTTGCAAATCATTTTTAAAAATCCTTAAGTCCATAAAAATTCTACCCACTTGTCAAATGTACATCACTCACATTCACATTTACCAGTCTTGCCCCTCATGTCCACTTTCTGCTAATTCTCATATTACTAGGTTATGACGACCAACATATATATTTACTATCAATACAATAATCTCAGCTTAGATTTTCATGTAAATAGAGCAAAAAGGGACCAAAGAAGTTGCAGAATATATTAAATTTCTTTGGGCCCTCCTGGATATCTAACAGTTTTGTTTTCGGTTTTTTAAAAGTTTTGACATGAGAGCCATTGTTCATATCCATGGAACAAAGCAGTTATAGTGGAAGAGTACACTAGCTCGATAAGACTACATCTTAAAGCTACTGTTATGAGTGACAACAGGAATGGATAGGGAAGCACAGGGCCTCTCTAAATGGAGTCAAGAGATTTGAGTTCCTGTGCATGATTATATGCATAACAGCCAGAATAGTCCTTTCCTAACTGGATCAAGTTCCTTCAGGTTAAAGACAGAGGAAGATCTGAGAAAATGTTAACCCACAACTCAAGCCCTACTCATCCCACAATTGCAATAGACAATAGCTTTCTCTCTGACCGCAGCCATCAGAAGGAGAAAATGCTTTTTTTCCCCATATCATCAACCACGCTTCCAGATCCTGAAGAATGGAACTCACAATAAGCATCGTGACCAGAAGATTCTTCTTGGTGACTTGTGCATGAGAGAAGATGTAGTTCAGTACAGTGTTCATGTCACTCTTGTTCTCCTCCCGTAAGGCGAACACACATTTGTCATAGTGACCTACAAGCAGCAAAAAGAATTGGTTCTCCCATGTATGAACGTTCATATTTACATGCCTTTTTTTTTTTTTTTTTAAATGTCTATAATTCCCCATTAGCAGTGAGAAGAAACCTCTTGAATTTTCTTGGAAGGATTTGTACAGAATTGATAGTGTGATTTACTAAAAAGGAATGCCAGACTAGGAGTCAGGCAATCTGGATATAAAACCTAGGCTCAAGGCCTAGCTCTGTTACCAATTTTCTATGTGCTCCCAGGCAAATCACTTTACCTACTGACCTCAATTTTATTATATTAAAAAAAAACTGGGGGGAGGGTGTGCCTTGAATACTAGCAGTTTGAGAATAACTCCAGTCCCACCTATATTCTAAACTCTCTCATTTAGCTTCCTGGAATGACTTCCTTAGAAGAAAGCGTTCTGTTGCTTAAAAAAGAAATTTCAATACCATTAACCTCGATAATATTTAAAGTCTACAGCTTGAGATTCTGGATTCCATGTCTAACTCACTGAAAATATTTCATCCTAACTGATAGGAACAATTTTAGCTTAAAAAAAAAAAAAAAACCCTAACACACCAAACAAACATCAATATCTATAAGAAGTTGTGGCTGCCAGCTCTAGAATCAGCACTTTTCCCTGTAAGTCCATGAAACAGCTAAGCAATACCTAGGAATTCCAAATCCAAACTAAGGCATAGAACAAGGAGAACCTTGCATTAGACCAAAAGGTCTATAGGGAAACTACAATTATGTATATTTTCACTGGCCTTTCATAAAGCCACTTGGGGGGCAAGTTAGTGCTGGGAGGAAAGCTGTGCCTTGCAATAGAAGCATAAGCGTCAGGTATACTATAGTGATATCTACCATGGAGTATCAGTAATAGTCAGGTCTTAAGAAAACAGCTTACCTCAGAATTAAATTTCCAAGTAAAGAGGAATTAGTGTTTGAATATTCTCAAGGGTCAGAATTTACGAAACCATGAAAATAATAAAGGATTATCACCTCAGTTCAGATTCTGTGTTGAGTTACAAATCAGAACATTGGTGTTCAAACTGCACTACCATGGGTTCCTAGAATACTGAGGACATTCAAACAGGGAAATTCTGCTTTTATCTGTTTTAAATATTACAGACTGACACAAGGTTTTATTTCCAAAAGAAACTAAAAAATGTTTGAAAAGTAGTGGACTGCAGTATCTAGACAGCCACCAATTTCATAAAAGACCATTGAGAACAAAATGGAAACTGTTTAGAAATAGGTTGTCCTTTATAAATTCACATTTCTCTCTACTGAGACTTAGCTTTGAAGTGAAAGCAGAAATGTACCTAGACCATAGGAACTACTAGGACCAAAGGAAATAAACAAAATACATTCACTCTCGGGCGGAAGGGAAACGCTAACAGAAAGGAAGCAGTGACACCAAGTATCCCCTTTTTTAAAACTTTCTATTGTAAAATATACATACAAAAGAATGTTGAAAACACATACTAACAGTTGAAATGACAAACACCCATGTAACTCATCTTTCTTTAGACAGATCCAATAGAACATTTTTAGTACCTTAGACGGTCCCTACGTGCCCCTCCTCAGAGACAACTACTGAGCTGAATTTTCGTTAATCACTGCTTTGCTTTTCTTTACATTTACTACTAATGCGTACATACAGTTTTTTCCTGTTTTTGAACCTGATAAAAATGGAATCATTCTGTATTGATTCTTTCGTAACTTGCATCTTTCCTTCAACATTATGTCTTTAAAATTTATCCTTTTGTTCATGTGTGTACTGTGGTCCACCCATTTTCACTGCTATACAGTAACCCACTGTTTAAGAATTCAATTATTTACTCTATTGTTAGAAATTTGGATTATTTCCTGTCTTTTCTGCTATTATGAATAATGCTTCCACAAACATTCTTGCATATGTCTCCTAGCAAACATGTGTAGGCGTTTCTCTAGCATATATTATCTAGGACTGAAATTTCTAGGTTCAGAAATATAACTGTGTTCAACATTATTAGGGTTTGACAAACCATTTTCCAAAGTAGTTGTACCAGTTTGCACTTCTACCAGCAGCAAAAGTATGGTCTTTTTAATTTTTGCCAATGAGAGGTAATGGAATCTCACTGTGATTTTGGTTGACATTTCTCTGATTACTAATGAAATCAAGCATCTCTTCATAAGTTTATAGATCATTTGTGTTTCCTCTTCTGTGAAATATCTTTCTATATCTTTTGCCTATTTTTCTTTTAGTTGTCTATTTCTTATTGAGTCACAGCAGTTGTCTATATATTCTAGATACTAGTCCTTTGTTAACTGCATGTTTTACAAATACCTTCTCCCACTTTGTGATTTGTATTTTCAGTCCCTTTATGATGTCTTCTGATAAACAGAAGTTCTAAAGTGCAGTAAAATCAATCTTTTCTCTTGCAGCTTGTACTTGATGTGCCTTGTATAACAAAATCTTCTCTCTTCTGAGGTCATGAAGATATTTTTCTATTGTTGTTGTTGCTGTGATTGAGTTGGCCCCCAACTCATTGTGACCCCATGTGCAACAGAACAAACGCTGTCCAGTCCTGCACCCATCCCCATGATCAACTGTGGCAGCCTTGCCTTTAATACATGTTTATGTCTTTAATTTATCTGGAATTGACTTTTGTGTGTATGGTACATGGTAGGGACTTTATTTCTTTTTCTTCCTTTTTTGCAAATGGATAACCCATTTCCCCAGTATCATTTATTGAAAAATCTATCCTTTCCCTATGATCTACAATGCTTTCTCTGTCATAAATTTTCTTTCATATATGTACGGATCTGTTTCTGGGCTCTCTCTTATGTTCCATTGTCGAAATCGCTGGATGGCACCTAACAACAACAACAGCAATATTATAATCTCTGATCAACATGGCTTTATATTAAATCTTGATATCTGATTAGACAAATCCCTTCACCGTTTATTTCTTTAGGGGTATCTTGGTTATTGTAAGACTTTTGTTTCATGTACATTTTAGAAGCAGCTTAACAAATTCCATGAAAAAAATCCTAGTAGGATTTTTATTGGAACTTTGATTAATCTATAGAGAGAACTGACACCTTTACAATAGTGTATACTCCAATGAAAGACCATGCTATATCTCCATTTAATTAGATTTCCTTTAATAGTGTTCACTAATTATAATTTTCTCCAAAAGATGCTTGCATATTTTTTGTTAGATTTATTCCTTGGTATTTCGTATTTTTGACTGCTATTTTTCATGGCATAGTCTTCTGAATTGGTTTTTTAACTGATTGCCCTAATATAAAGAAATGCAATTGAATTTTGTGTGTTGATTTTTATATACAGTAACCAAGTTAGATCTTAATAATTCTAGTAATAAATCTGTAGATTCCTTGAGGTTTTCTAGATAGACATCATATCATGTTCAATAGTGGCAAATTTGTTTCCTTACTTCTTTCTAGTCCTTGACTTTTAATTCTATTTCTTGTCTTACTGCACTGGCTAGGACCTCCAGTATAATGCTGAATAGAAGCAGGGATAGCAGGTGTCCTTGTCTTATTCCTAATCATAAAAAGAATACTTTCAACATTTTACCATATATATGATATTTTGTATAGATTTTTGTGGATGCCCTTTATAAAATTAAGGAAGTTCCACTTTATTCATAATTTGCCAAGAGTTTATCATGAATGGATGCTAAATTTTGTCAAATGCTTTTCTTCTCCATCTCCTGAGATAATGACAATGTTTTTCCACCTTTAATCTATGAATTAATTGATTTTTCCAGTATTAAATCAATCCAACTGGGTTTCCATGTATTATGTTATACACTGCTGGATTCTGTTTGCTAATATTTACTTCAGGATTTTTTGCTGTTCATGAGTGACAAAGCCATGCTTTAAAGGATACAAAAGGGATCAGAATAGATAAAAGAAAATTTTAGGTAATGTTTCAAATTCTGTGGTTTTTCACTGCCATCTTGTGGCAGGAAGCAGTATCAACAGTACACAGCTTTAAAATCTCAGCCAGGGTATTTCACACTTAAGACTGTATACATCATTTAGTGAAGATCTTCAGAGAAAGCCAGGGATAAATTCCACCTAAATGATACACTGAAAAGTACTGGAAATATGGGCTCTTCCCAGATGCCTGTGGTTCAATTCATGGATTAGCTGTTGAGAGGCAAGTCCTTCTCAATTTCAGCCTGGTCATGACTCAAGTTTCACTATACAAGGTCAAGAAGATGTCAATAGGTAATTCTAATCTCTACTAGAAAAATTATTTCAGTCCTTTCCCAGAAGCACACTGGATTTACAATCTCATCAAGATGAGTTCTGCAGTTGTTCTTTCTTTGGAGCTAGTGGGATATGGAGGTTTGGTTTTCATGGAGTGGGGAAAAGAGGAACAGTTTGTTAATGGTAAGTATTGGTGACAGGATGAACTGGCTTAGCTGCTAGCCAGTCCTGTAAGTATAGATTGGGTTCGTCACCAGAATCAGAAGCTACTCAGATAGAGTTCTCAGAAAGAGGCTTACCATTCTGGAATTGAGTCTCCACTCGCAGGTACTGCCGGAGCAGATCCATCACCACAGCCTTCATGTGGCCTCGGATGCCACTTCGATACCTAGACAAACAGAAAGTCTCCACTGAAAAACCTGACAAGCCAACCCTATTAAATAATACACCCAGGGACCAAATTTATTTTCTAGACTTTCCACTGAACTGCTTTCCCTCTGAATATAGGGCAGGATGGGGACAGCCTACAATTATCTAACCTGATTAATTCAAATTTCAGGCTTAAGAGAAATCTGGCTATAGACAAGATTTCTTTTTAAGTAAAAAAAGAGAACAGAAAAAAATAAAACCAAAAAAAAACAACCTTCACAGACTGACATAACAGTGCCCTGATTCTACTTCTAAGTAGAAATTACTGCCACATCTTTGGAATGGCTAAGGCATATCTGAAAGATTTATAAAATGAGTATCTGAAAGATGAAAATCTCTGTGAATATCCCTCTAGCCCAATAGTTGGCTATATAAGCTAAGAGGAATAAATGTCATACTTGGTCCTATGCCAGAAGAGTAATTAGAAACTTCATCAAAATTACAAGGAAAAAGAAAACAACAAAATTTCTGTGCTTTAAAAATTGATAGAAAGATGTAGAATAGAAAGAAATCATCAGAAATATTGAGTATGAGAGCTAACTCACAATTCTAAGATATTATTGGTACTTTCTAATTTACTTAAGTCAAACCCAAGGTAAACCTCTCCATGACTACTTAAACGAAAGAAAGGTATGATATGGATCAGTCTGGGAATCTGAAGAGACATGGAATTACCTCTGCACCAGTTGTACAATGCTCTGAGTGTTCATAAAGAAGACTTCTCGTTCAGATTTCCGGTTCAGTGTAGCTGCATGGCTATCTAGGATGTTGGCAATCTAAGGCATAAGAAAGGGAAAAATGAAGCCCAATCCCAAAAGGAACCCAAAACATCAACTGGTATAGCATCACTACTAGGAATCTTCTTAGTTACAACACAACACTTCCTACTATCTTTCACATGTTGGGAGCAGCTGGGAGTTATTGGGTATAGTTTAGGGGCTTGTGTTAGTTAAATAAACAAGTAGCTTTTCTCTCTTATCATTCTTTCCAAGATGGACTAATGACTGCATCACTAAAACTACCACCCTACCAGAGGCTCTGACAGGCAAGATCTACTCAGTTGCCTAGCTTTACTCCCCACATGGATACTTGCTTTAGCATGCTGCTAAGGTAATAAAGAAGTCTCTAATGATAAAATTATGAATATCCCTCTACTTTACATTCACTAAAATACCTCTAATTAGGGCATGGCCAAAGTATGCTTCTCTCATAATCATAGATACTTTACATTTCACAGAGAGTATTTTCATTATTGTGCTTGTATCTTGAGGCTGTTTTTGTGAAAGGTACAATGCTTAAAATTGCAAAAGCACAACATTCAAAGAATAAGGAGGTTCAAAACAGGAAGGAATCCTACAACAAGAACTCAGTATTGGTAGCCAGTGGGAAATAATGGTGGTGTTATGCTATAAATACCTGTTGGCTGGGAAACTGACAGAGAACGGATGTAATGTTGCTAGCATATTGAGCCATTTCCTTCTTGATAGACTTCTCCACGTTTAGTGGGATACGGCCAGATACACTGGTCATAATATCTTGCAATTCTAGGAGAGGAAGGGAGGGATCTCTGAGGGTCTTCATCAACCGCTCTACCCAGTCTTTTACCTAAGGAGAAGGAAACAATAAAACAGGATCCAGATAAAGTTAACATAATCCCCAAATAAAATATCTGAATTCACTAACACACAGTGCCTACTTTGAAACTGCAATATAAGCATCTAACTAAACCCTGTCCTTGCTCTCTGGTTTAAAAGAGTAATCCCAATTAAATGTGAAGTCAATGACAAAGATAAGAATCAAGGATTTAAAGACTTCAAATGCCATAACAAAGGGTGAGAGAGTTTCAGGCCAAACAGCTCTTTCCTTCCTTCTAAAAAATGCTTATGAGACTTTAAACTATCTTGGAGACAAAGTACCCCATTTGTACATCCCTTCTCCGAGAGAAGTGATTCATACTCTGCTGCTGAAGAAAGGATCTGGAAGGCAGTATCCATTCATTACGTTGACCAGATTATCCAGGACATAGTGGAAAACTCGGTGGAGCTTCTCCCCTCTGAGTGCGGTGCTGTGGATCCGTGGCAGACAACCTGTGTGAAGCTCAGCCTGTCAGACCCAATAAGAGATGAAGTCATCCACTATCTTCTATTCAGGGAACAAAGACATCACTGCAACTCAGAGTCATCGTTCAAAATCGAGATATCCCTTCACCATACCCAGCTACCAGGAGTAAAGTCAAGGGAGGCAGCATCATGAGGAAATTAGACAATCTCAGTAGCCTAGTAACTCTTACAAAACTCTAGTTCCATGGTACTATAAGCAGAATACAAGGTATATCAACAGGAAAAAAAAAAAGAGCTTAAGAAAAAACTGGCAAACCAAGCACTGAAATCACTTGCTCCTCCAAACTACCCCTGCCATATCCTTCACCTCCTGCAGAGCAATATTCAGAGTACCTTCCTGCTCACCTGCTGGACCTTGCTGGGGTTGTCCAACTGCAATTTGGCTATTACACAGCCAGGGTCAAGAGCTGCTCCAGGCCGCTTGACATAATGGACACAGCCAGACTCTGCAGCTATCAAAGTCATCACCATCTTCATCACCTATAGTGAAAAATAAAAATTAGAATCTGATCTCTCTCTTCATAGAAGAATGACTTTAAGAGATCATTTTCTCCCTCAGCATCTAAATTGATCTATACCTAATTCAATCTGGAAAAACAGGAATCTTTCAAAATCTCCTATAGACTACAAAGGCAAGCAATTAGATAATTTCTCCCAGGACCCAGCTTTAGGGATTAAGGACACTTACAGACATTTATCTTGTTTCTAACTTTTAAATCCATTTTGCCACAGTTTGTGTTTTCACTTGTTCTGTACTTAGAAGTGATGAACAATTTAGCCTCCTTATACCACTGGCTCTAGCCTCTTACTCTCAGACAGTCTTGTCTACCTAAGATGTCTAGGTCATTCTTTACTCCTCTTTCTCACTTATCTGCCAGTTATCAAGACCAGTCAAATACATCTTCTAAAACTCTTCAAAACTCTTTCTTGCCACTTCTTTAGTTTAGGCCCTCATTTCTGGCCTAGTGTACTTCAAAAACCTCCTAACAGATTTCCCTACCTATCATTTTGTATCTCCTTCCTATACATCCTCCAAAAATCTTCTAGAACCCAAATCTCATCATGCCACTTTCCTGCTTAAAATCCTTCAATTACTTCCCATATCCTTCAAGACAGTCTAAACTTTTTAGTATGACTTATAAGATTCTTTGTGGTCTCACGTCCGATTGTCTCTTTAGCATCTTTGCTTGTCACTTCCCTATTAAACCTTACCCTATTCTCAAGCAATACCAATTGGCAGCTCCCTAAATACACCACACTCTCTTCTTCTGTGCCTTTTGTACATGCTGTTCCTTCAGTCTTAAACACTCTTCTCTGCCCTTCGCCTGGTCTATTACTACCTATCTTTCAAAACTAAGAACAAACATTTCCTTTTTCAGGAAGTCTTCTTTTATTACCCATCTATAACCCCTCCACCCTCATTTGGGTTAGGTGGCCTTCTGGACTCTGTGCTTACCTGTCTCACAATTCATCACATTGCATTACTTGTCTGTTTTGTATCCCACTCCATCTATCATCATATTTATTCTATATAACTAGCATTTAGCATAACACCTAATATTCAACAAGTGTATCTATTTTTAGCACTAGAGATTCCTCCATCTGTCAAAGAAAAACCTAGAACTTTTTACTTGTTTTTAAAATCTTGAGGTTCACAACTCCAATTAAACCAACTCATACTCTTTCCTATCTAATACTCTTCAGTCCTAGTCCATTCCAGCCAATCCTTTTTTTCCCTTCCCTCCCATGACCCGACAGCCCATTCACCACCCTGACCTCAATCTCCGCATAGCACTGGCCAGCAAACACATGGCCTCCATCCTCTACAACGTACTGGATTAGCTTCCCAGCAGAAGGTGAGCGCATCACTGACGGGTCATTCTCCTTCTCAAATACACAGGTTTTATTGCCAATCGTGATGCGATACCTAGGAGATAAGTGGAAGTATGTAAGCCAGTAAAGAAACTCAGATGTAAAGGAATATGGTAGAATAACATAAATCTTTAAAAAAAAAAAAACCTGAAAACTTTATCACACACACACACAATATTTGTTTACAATGCCAAATAGGCAAAATTTCCTTCAGTAAGGATTAGATTAAATAAATCATAGTAAACCAAAAATAACGAATTGTCGTCAAGTTGATTCTGACTCATAGCAACCCTACAGGACAGAGCAGAACTGCCCCATAAGGTTTCCAAGGAGTAGCTGGTGGATTCGAACTGCTGACCTTTTGGTTAGCAGCTGTAGCTCTTAACCATGGCTCAATTGCTAGCCCCACCAGGGCTCAATTGCTAGCCACTGAGTCAATGGAGTAGAACTGCCTCATAGGGTTTTCCAGGAAAATCACCATGCCGAGTGGCTGGTTGGTTTGAACCCCCGGCCTTGTGGTTAGCGGCCGAGCTATTTAACCACTGTGCTACCAAGAATCCTAAATCATGATACATCCATACAGTGGAACACTACGTGACCATTAAAAAAAAAACAGGGCCTATTTGCCTCCATGAACAACTGCCTCCTTTGCCATGAGACAAGAAGAACTGGATGTGCCCAGCTACCATTACTGAACATTTTGATCAAAGATTCTCTAGAAGAAGCTTGATCAAAAGGGGGAAAATGCACAACAGAATTTCAAATTCTCATGGACTGCAGACTTCCTGAAGCCATGAAGGTTGGATGAACCCCTGAAACTATTGCCCTTAGATAATCTTTAAACCTTAAACCAAAAATATCCCCTGAAGTCTTCTTAAAACCAAACAACAGTTTAGCTTAACCAGTAAAAAATATCTGCCTCGAGCATTATACTCTTTTAAGAACTATCTACATGGGATCAAAGTGACAACAGCAACTTGAAAGATTAGATAGGAACCTTAGGGGACAGTGAATTTATGTTAATGGGGGAGGAAAAACTCAGAAAAGGAGGATGAGAATGGGAATGGTTGCACACCTCAAACAATGTAATCAATGTCACAAATGTACCTGTAGAAACTATTGAATTGGTGTATGTTTTGCTATGTATATTCTTAATACCAACGACAAAATAAATGAGATTAAAAACAAAAAACAGGGCAACTCTATAAAAAAAACAAAACAAAACACGAAGATGATGATGTAGTAGCTAACATTTCTTGAGCCCTTAGTATGTCCCAGGAAATGTTCTAAGTGCTTTACATGTGTTAATTCAGTTAACTCACAAGAACACAATGACTGGTGTTGAGCAGTCTTCAAGATATGTTAAATGAAAAAAAAGCAAGGTGCAAAATAACATTTAAAGGATGTTTTTTCTTTTGTGAATGTATTTAAGAGAAAAATACATCGTGTACATATGTTTAACTTGTATATGCATACAAAATTTCAAGAAAAATATATAAGAAGCAGTGGTTGCCCACAAAGAGAACTTATTTTTCATAGTATATCCACATCAGAGTGGTAGGGAGACATGGTTTTAATTGTAATCCTGGAATTTTCATTAAGTGCATGTATTATTTTTTATTATTTAAAAAAAAAAAAAAAGAGTACCAAAAAAGGCTTTGAAAAATCTCAAGAGTCAGTGACTATTAAGAGACTGACATAATGACCATCAAATGGACCTCAAACAGCCACTCACCTGTCCACTTCCTCCTTCATGTATGTGGTATAGCTGCTGCCATCGTAGGACAAGAGCAGTCCTCCATCACTTAGCCGATGCACATCTACTTCTACACATGAGCCATTCATGATCACCACATATGAGTTGGGGGACTGTCGAGTCACCTGTAGGCAACAAGTACCAGGAGGAAAAAGTCAATGTGTCCCTTCCAGGTGGTGCCCCAGACAAAACTTCAGTATCTCAAAGATACAGGCAAAAAAGATCTGTCAGAGGGAAGAAATTCATGGCACAAGTGCTATTAGCATGAGTGACTGTGGGCATGGTTCAGTCCTGCCACAAGCTAACAGGGCTACGTTAGTCTCCCTGCTCTGGTTATTCCCTGTCCCCCCTTTATCTCTGGGCTGTATACGTGAAATTGGGGAGAAATTAAAAGGTTTTCATAGAATCATCAAATACTGCTTCATGCTACTGACATAAATAATGACTGTAATTTCACTAATGTCCAGCCCCTACAATAAAGCAAATGTTTCCCCCTACCTCTTGACCTTTAAAGAAAGCAAGATAACAAAGAGACAAAAAGTAAGGTACACATGCTGAGTGAAATGTCAGACACAAAAGGACAAATATTGTATGATCCCATGTATATGAAATATCTAGAATAAGTAAATACATGGAGATAAATAAATACATTAGTGGTTACCAGGGGCTGTAACAACCACCTGTTGCCATCAAGTCAATTCAGACCATAGCGACCCTATAGGACAGAGTAGAACTGCCTCATAGGGCTTCCAAGGAGTGGTTGGTGGTTCGAACTGTTAATTTTTTGGTTAGCAGCCGCAGCTCTTAACCACTACGCCACTAGGGCTCCACCAGGGGCTATAGGGAAGTGGAAATGGGGAGTTACTGCTTAAGGGGTGCTGAGTTTCTGTTTAGGGTGATAAAAAACATTTGGAAATGGATAGTGTTGATGGTTGCAAAACACAGTGAATTAATGCCACTAAATTGTACACTTAAAAACGGTTAAAACGCAAATGTTTTGTTATATATATTTTACCACAAAATTAAAAAAAGAAAAAAAAAGATGTAAGCATCAGCAGGATTAAGCATACCTTAAGTACATACTTGACTCCCTCATAGATAAGTTCAACATCTACTGTATTTAGAAGTGTGTGAGCTGGAAGGACTTGACCCCTGAAAGAACAAAAATGTGAGACACTTACTTCCAGAGAATTCTGCAAGTTTATAAAGGAAGCTCAAAAGTTATTGATCGCAGCATTTCCTAGAATATCAAAAGCCGGAAAACAACCTATATCACCATCAGTAAGGGACTGAATTCACAAATCACGGAAGAGCCATATTATGGATTACACAGCCATTAAAAAAGAAAGATGAAGCCTTACATACTAATATGGAACACTCTCCAAAATATACTGCTAAGTGAAAAAAGCAAGGTATATAACAGTCTTAGAGTAGATTACCATTAGTGTTTAAAAAAAGGGGGAAGAGTGGGAAGAAACAACATTAAATGTACACATTTTATAAGTTTAGGATGTCTCTGGAAGACTACATAAGACCTGGTAATACTGGTTGCCTAAGGGAAGGGAACTGGGTGGGCAGGGAACAGAGGTGAAGAGGAGAATTTTCACTACATAGTTTTTGTGCCTTCTGAATTTTGAACCATGTCAATGCATTGCCTGTTCTTAAAAATAAATAAAATTAAAGCTTAAAAAAATCAATAAAAACCCTAGTGCAATCAGTCCTCATCTACTCCTATCAGCCGGGATTTTATTTGGGATTTTTAAAAAAAAAAAAAGGCTGTAGGCCATGGCTGGGTGGAGGTGAAAGGGGAAAAGGAAGGACATTACCAAAGAGGGAAACAATATCAAGAAAGACTTCTGATAATAACAGAGAGAGGGAGTGACAAATGATGTGAGTAAAGTTGTTAGTAATTGGTGAATCTGGGTAAAGAATACATAGTTCTTTGTACTATTGATGCAACTCTTCTGTAAATTTGAAATTAAAATACAAGTTTTAAAAATAAATTTTAAAAAGAACATTTAAAAAAAGTCTCGGACAGGAGATTGCACATGGGACATCTGTACACCAGTAGGGAAACCATTTAACTAAGGTAGAGACTGCATGTTGAGGAACAGAAACAAGGAAGACTGGACTGACAACCACCAGCTGCCCCTTGGAAACCCTATGGGGCAGTTCTACTCTGTCCTATAAGGTTGCTGTGAGTTGGAATCCACTCGATGGCGAAGGGCTTTGTTTGGTTTGGTTTGGACTGACAAAAAGAGACCAAAGTACAGAAGAATTGAAAGTCACAGTGAGGAATTTAGATTTAATACAGAAGAAACATGGGAGCTGCTAAAGGTTTTACTGCATGAAAGTAACATAGTGAAAATATTAGCCATAAGTATTAAGTGACTGTGAAACCTCAGTTCAATTTTTAACATTTTGTTTCTTTTCTTCTCTTCAGACATCTCACAAAGCAGTTGACAAAAGTCTAACAACAGAGAAGGAAATAAAATGCCTGTGATTAAAGTGCTTTAAAATGATTAGCCCCTGGACCATTTCTCCGAGGACTGAGAAGCAGAGCTTAGTCTCCAGAATCAGTGTTAGAAATTAGCTGAGCACCATACATGTCTGACCCTCTACTTGAAAGACTCATGAGGTCATCCCGAATATTGGCTTAAATTATTTACTCCTAAAATGTGTTATAGGTAATATATGTAAATTTAGGGTTCAAAGCTAGAGAAAAGCATCAGATTTTTATCACCAGAGATTTGATGCTTGTACAGAATAAAAAGTTTACTTCAGCCAGATTCCAGTACAAAAAAAAAACCAACCTACTCTAGCTGTGATATAAACTAATCTATCGAAGCTACGGTTTAGAGTCTCAAAATAATTTGCAATAAATGCTTAATTTTCCTCTTCCTCCTCCCCCCAAGATCAGTGAATAACAAGTAGCACTCACAAACTGTCAGGAACAGACTGAAGAATAAACGGGTCTTTAAGCTTCAGTCCTATACTCAGAACCACTGGTTAGCTTGCGCAACCTAAAGGAAACAAAGCCTACCTTTCTAAGGAGTGAAGGAAGTTAGAGATGCTATTCCTCAAGCTAACATCTGCCACGTGGAGAGCTCCACACACAACTCCCAACATGGTGTCGGGTCGCTCTGCCTGAAAGGAAGAAGGAGCATAGATTAAAAGCGTTGTCACTTGGCATCATGCCCCCTCAATTCAAATCAGGCTCAAGTTTGCTATGAGAAAACAGCTAATATTGAAAATCTCCACCCTTATTGCCCAATTGGTTTTTGAGATAAAAAATGAACACATTTAATTTTAGAATCTGAATACAGGCCTCATTTGAATAGAGATGAATGAAAGAAAGATTGGAGGGGGGTGAGGGGCCAACACCTTTCCCCCACCACTCTCCCTAAAATTTCCACTGAGCTGCTCAAAGACCAGCTCAAAAACAGGTTTTTGACAGAAATGAATTTTAAAAGGTACAGAAATTTGGCTACTGATAATCTCAAAGAAAAACGGAGTGCACCCAAAGTTTGGACCATCAAGCAATTTATATGAATTTAGTGATTTTACACAAAACCTTGGGTAATTCAGAATATCCAGGAATTCAGGAACAAGGGGTAATAACCTCGTTGATTTAAAAGAGGCCCCTCTCAGTGGAAGTGTAGAAGTTGGTAACTCTGAAACAGATTTAACATCACATGAGGAAAGAAGAAGTATTTCGATCTCTGAATGTCTCTCTTTAAATATACCCCAGGAAGTAACACTAGAAAATATAAAATGACTGAAACATAGGCACAAAAACTCTTATGGTGCTAAAATTACACTGACTCCTAGATTTTTCCAGGTAGACTGAGAATCATTTAAACGAGAACAAATAAATCCCATCTAGTGACACAGACTGATCACCCCCCAAGCCTGTAAAAATCCAATCCCAGAAGCTGTTTTTACAAGTGGAGAAATACAAACCTGTACTTTTTCGGCTATCAGTCTGTCCAGCCAACCAGTGTCAATTCTATTCAACTGAAAGCTTTCAGTCTCCAACAATTTGATCAGGTACTCAACTGTAGTTCGAAAATCACCCCGAATAGACAGCTCCTTTAAAGCCACTACCATATTTCTGGGAGAAGAATAGAAGCAGCTCTGTTTCAGCAATAAACGTTTCAGTGTTTTTCCACTCATTTTAGAGAATTGCTCCATTCCTTTGAACTCTTTGGAGGGAGTAGAGACAGGATAAATCCAAGAACAAATGAGGGCACACATATAAGGGTGTTCATTCATGGGTATTCCAGGTAGGGAGAACCAGCAAATCAGCAAACTTATGAATTCTGACTGATATTACCATAAGATCATCAGCAAATCACATTCATTTCACATATAAAGAGCAAACCACCCTCATTTTTCACTTACTAGGTTACCAATTATTCTATTCATTACTGCTGGCTAAACTGAATTAGGGCATACTTTTTCCCATCGTTATACCTTATTTATTTTATTGAGGTATAATTTACAATAAAATATACTTATTTTAAGTATACAGTTCAATGAATTTTGACAAACGCTAATACTTTAGTTTAAAGGCTTACATACAGTGAGGCAACTGCCTGGGTGCAGTCAGGTATCAACTGACACCGCATGTGAGAGTGTTTCTTAAGCTACATTTTAGATACCTGTGTAATGACTTGGTCTTTTATTACTCTCAATTAAGTATAAGATAGTCTAATTTTAACAGAATTTCAAAGTATTATGGAATTTTTCTGTATCTTTCTGCCCATTAATATCTATCTTGTAAAATACTTTCTTTAGCAAATAATTTATTATACACCTCACATACTCAAGATACATACTAACTAGGTTCATAGGGAGACACTAAAAATATATAATTATCACTTTTAAAGTATAAGCCAGGATATCATAAATGACATTAGAGAGATACAAGCAAAATGCTGGAGAGGTTCTAAAAAGGGATAAAAATCTACCTACTATGGTTTCATGAAAAATATAAAATCTGACATGGGCTAAAAGTATAACTGGCATTTCAACTGGGTGAGGAATACTACTCCAGGTGGTTCAGGCATCCCCTCCGCCTTGAACACTATTCTCTTTTCCATCTCCACTTTCGCCTCTGCGCCAGGTTTATTCCTATACACTCTTCAGGTATCAGTCTAGACGTCACTTCCTGCTGGGAAGGCTTCCCTGACCCCCCTCCAGACAGAGTTGGTTGCCTCTGCTATAAGCTCCTATGACATCCTTATATGTCACACTATCATAGCACTTAATACGTTGTGTTTTAATTGCTGATTTAATTTTTCTCTTCCTTTAGACTGTAAAGTTCCATGAGGGCAGAGACCTTATTTTGGTCATCACTGTATCCCTAGAACCAGCATATAGTGGATACTATGTAAATATTTGTTGAATGGAATGAATGAATGAAGTGAAAAGAAAAAACAGCAAGAACAGCATATAGTGGATACTA